ATTCATTTACTATAAGGTGAGCACTTCCATTAAAATAGTATGTGGGTCCCTTAACCACAGCATGAAAAATCGGATAACCAATACACCAATAACTTATTCGGTTGGCGAAGTTCATTATTGCTATTGGCGGGCAAATCCCATCATCTCCATATCTCTTAAGACAATGCCTTGTCTATCTATATGAAATGACTCCCGATTATGTTTAGCCTTTCTAAAATCACCTAGTGTAGACCACTCCGTTGGGGAGCTAACACGATTGATTTTAGATTGAGTGTATAACATTATTAATGCTCTAATGAAAAATAAAACATTAAATATGTTGTCATTATAATCTAGACTCTTTAAATCATGCGTAGGGCCTTATTTTTAAAGATCTAATTACAATGAACATTTAATATTTTTATTTTCATGAGACAACCATTCTTGTAATATTAAGACTCTTCAAATCATGCGTGGGGCCTTATTTTTGAAGATCTAATTACAATGGTTTTAATAACGAAGGCCATGGGGCAATGTATAAAAATCCCCGCTCCCACTCAATTTTTAATCATTCATAATCAGGGTTTTCATTTTATTCATTTACATGATATAATGCATGCAAAACGTCTTGATTTTAATCCAATTAAATTTAGAAAATATTTGGACTTTAAACGAATCACTAATATTTAACTTGAGGCACACTTCAAAAATAATTTATAAAAATAATTTTTCGTTTCCCAATAAGTGCCCTCTAATTAATTAGTAATCAAATCCAATTAATTTTCATAATTTAACTAATATAAATCAAGCCATTTAAATAAATATCATGGATCCAATGCATGAACAATAATAATTAGCAATTAATTATTTCATGCATCTCATACAACAATAAATGACAGATAAAGCAAATAAAATGGCCAATGGAATCAGCTTTTAACATTTAATTGCTCTAATCACTGCGCGAAGATCTTCCATCAGCTTGCAAACACCCACATAAGGTTGGTACGCACCAGGAGAAGCAAAACACGGCTTGGAACGCGACTGGAGGGCCCCACACGCGCTCACACGCGCCTGGGGCATGCTGCAGGTGAAGCCACGCGCCCCCACGCGCTGGCACGCGCCTGGGGCGCGTGGGACGCGCCCCCACGCGCTGGCACGCGCATGGGGCGCGTGGGACGCGCCTCCACGCGCCTGCACGCGCGTGGAGGCCATACACATTTGGCTGGCGCGTGCAATGCACGCGCCAGCAGATGTCACCTCCTGGCGCGTGTTCCTCACGCGCCAGGCTCACCCCAGATGCACTACACTTGATTCTAGCCTCCTCCGACGTCTCTTCTCGCCGCCGGTGATGCTCCGGCCACCGGAAAAACGCCGAAAAATCCAGAAAAATTAATAAAAATTTCCAGAAATTAAATTAGGCCTTAAAAAATTCCAGAAAAATTCCGGAAAATTGCTAAAAACTCCCAGAAAATTTCTGAAGCCTAATTTAACCCTCTTGGACCTTCTTGAAGCTTCATAGCATCCTTTGACGAAGATTACATGGCTTTAAAAATATTTACAATTTGAAATACAATGGAAAAAATTAAATTACATCATTGAACTTTCAAACGGCTAAATCAAAGCCTTAATTACATTCATCCAAAGATAAAATTACATTAATTTAACCTATAAGCTTCATCCATGGCCCAACCATACATCATCATTCATTCACAATCATTCATACATCATTATGTATCAATATATATCAACATATTAAATCATACATCAACATACATCAATAAAAATATATATGAATATAATTTTGGATCCATGAATGATGATTTTCATAAAATCATGATCTCTAATAATGAATCAAACCATGCTCTGATACCACTGTTGGGAAACGTGCTAGTTTTAAAAACTTTTCGAGGGATTTAAATTCATAGATCTTGATTCATCACTTAGAGACAAGTTTTATGCAAAAATAAAACATGATGTATCATTCAATTAAAAGATTGAATACTTACATCAAGGTTTGAGTAAACCTTAGATCTCTCCTCTAAAGTGAATGTTCTCACTTATTGTAGATCCCTTTTGCTAGACACCTTTTCCATGGATCTCCATCTTCTTGGTAATTCTTTTGCCTTTAGGAATCACTCATATGCCTCCATGAATGACCTTGGAAAACTAGACTTGTGGGAGCCTCCATTAGATGAGAACATAAACCCTAATTTTCTAGAGAGAGAAAATTTATTCCTTTTTCCTTCTCATAAAAATCACCCCAAAAAATATACATAGACCATGTATATTTATAGGCAACATAAAAATAAAGAAAAGGAAACAACAAATCCTTCTCCATCTCTAATTCATATGTCTCAAATCTAATATGATTCCAATATCAAGTTGGGCTATGAGTGAGAATCCATTGGGCTTATTATTTTATTGGCTACAATGAATTAATAATTGGCCCGGTCCATGGACCCAATTCAATTAATTCATAAATTAATTTCTACTCCACTAAAAGAAATTAATTGAACTCCAATTAAATAATAAATAACCTCTAAGTCAATATTGCACTTTGACCCCTCTATGCATAATTAGTTATCGGATAAATATAGCCATCAATCCGACTCTTTAATTAATATATTTATTTTGGTACCTTTAATTATTTCTGGCTCGATCACAATAAAACATTTGTTTGACAAAAATAATAATTTAAATAAATAAATATATAATAAATCATTTTGTCTAAAAACACACGAAGGCCTTCGAATTTACTTTGTGATCAACCATAATCAATACAAAATAAATACAAGTAGCAATGATGCAAATATTGAAAATATAACCCTCTAACTATTAATTACATAACTACCCAAAGTGTCGGTCTAAGGATCCCGAAGAATCCGCCGAACAAATCAAAGTAATTATTAATTAATAAAAGAGTCTATACTTTTCTCATGCTTAAGAGTCAAATGCCATGACGGTGATAGGGAGTAATTGCATACGACGGCTCTCGCAATATATCTCAACCTAACGCGGATCCAGTTCAAGTCTTAATTAATTATGAGTCCATCCATAATTACCGATTATGAACAATTTATAATTACTATTTATATATCATGCATTGATTGTCATCACATACATATATATAAATATTTCTTGTAATTAACTGGACACTATCAATTTCATAGTGAATTGAAACATAATACATTGAATTCACCAATTATATAAATCATAAATATTTCAGATATGTCAGGAACATATGTCAATACAATCCAGATAGGAATTCGCTATGCCAGGGCATATAAATCCCAACACACAGAACTTGTACGTACAAGCACAAATTGCATCATTTTGAACAGAATCATCACAAGAATGGAGACAATAATCATGAAAACTAGTCAAATCAAATTGTAAATAGCATTACTTATAAAATAATGTTCTATACGAACCCGTGATGCACAGGCATTATGCATGACATATGAAACTATCCCACTAAACAAATGTTATGCTATTGGATTCAAGGAGAGATGATTTGAACCCAGTTAACTGAGTGGAAATTGGATTAAGATTTTCATGAAGGCATCAATTAAGTTGATGAATCAGAGAACTGAGACGGCAGCAGAAAAATACCAGTCAAAACCAATTTTAGATATTTATGGGAGATTAAGATGAAAATGCGATCCATATTGAGCGCACTGTACCTTGTAAGGTTGAAAATATAAAATTAAAAAAGAGAGCACATGAAGATGTTTCAAACTCGTTTGTGGAACAGAGTAAACACAACTCAATTCAAAAATCAACAAAACGTTGATCCCATTTGGGGTTTGCCACATCAATTTTATTTAGCTATTCCACCATATATAAGGTCATGACCTAAGTCAAGTAAAACGTCACCATAATTTTCCTTACTACATAAAACCAATTTTAGTAATGGACTACTTCTTTCCCTGTCGTTATCAGATGTGAATATGTCACTCTTCCGTCCAGTTATAATATTTGTTACACATGACCAAAATATCTTTTGTTTTTCAATCATTTTATCTTGATTAACTGTTTCACAAACATATTTATCTAATTTTATCTATTCCTATCTTGGTATACAACCATATCAACATCCACAACTTGACCGCATTCATGTTATGAACAATTTGTGTCTTAGCAGCCCAACATTCCATGCCAAAAAGTATAACTGGTGTAAAAACTATTTCATAAAATTTAGAGGTATACATTAATCATCTAATATGCCACAAGGCCCACAACTAGGGGTGCATCTTGGGCGGGTTAGCCCAGCCCAACCCGAGTCCAGCCCATAAATTTTAAAATCTGGACATATAAATTCATAATTCAAGTTTAAGTCGGGCTGGGTTTTTTAAAAACACAACCTTATTCAGTTTGGGCTGGGTTCAACCCGAACCCAACCCAAAAGCCCAAATTAAACATTTCATTAAAAAAAAAAAAAAAAAAAAAATCCACGAGGAAGACGAGGGTCAGGCGGTTGAGGAGCTCTTTGACCGGAACGGTCACTCCTCCGACATCTTTGTCGCCAACGGTACGCTTGCAACGGAGGTTGAAGACAAGGGTCAGGCGGTTCTGTTCGGGCAGCCGACTCGTCTATGGTGAATTTGTATCTTATTTGTAAAAAATCGGGCCTAGATGATTTTGAATCTCTTCACCCCAAAACTTCACTACATTAATACTTATATATTTTAATTTTCTTAAATTACATTTCACATTTGGTTATAATCCTACTTATCTTAAACCTTCTGATTCTAGAAGGATTTTAAAGACTTTAAATGTATACAGAAGTATGCAAAGAAAAATTAAGTATGCATATTTTCATATTTCTTCTTTCCTACAAAAATTGAACATCAATGGGAGGGGAACATATGCATAGATGAGATTACAATCAGGCCAAATATACTGTAGGAACTTTGAGTAAACATTTAAAACATGTTATGGATATTTTTTTTTTTTTCTCCGGGGGTGTGCGTGTAAGGACAGTTTAATATCCAAGGGAGAAAATTAAGTAAAAAAGGCACCTTCACCCTGATAACCAAGTGGAAACTGCAACCAGTGACAGCATTACTAAAAAACCATAGTTCACGAAGGTATCAACATCTTCAACTTTAACCATCTTGTCCTGAAAATTACTCCACATACGTGTAAAAGGACAAGAGACCTGTTGATCCTGCAGCAAATGTCCATTACCCTCTTTAATTCATTTCTGTGACTTTAGAAAAGGGAAATAAAATAACTGGAAACGATTGCCAGAAAGACCTTTTCTATCGGCAGGGAATTTGACAGAACTCACCTTTGGGTTTGAATCACTAATTTGTTCCTGAATGTTTGAACTTAGAGTTCTTCGCTTGTCCATGCCAACTGATTGATCAATCGAGATCTTGATTTTAGCCTTGCTGGAGACTTTAACTGTGTGGCCTCTATAAGCCGAATCAGTGTGAATTGTTTCCATGACTGAACCAAAGAAGTTTGTTACAGGTACCTAATGATGAGGTAAGAATGGGCAAATTAGTAGTCAATCTGATCAATTTATTTCTGCAGAATTGGTCAATCTCAGTTTGGAAGGGCTAAACTCAGAAAGTCACAACAACGAAAAGCAGTGTGTTTAACATAGCTTATGATAAAGCTGGACATCTGGTTATGGCAAGTGGGAAGCAACTTATAGATTTCAACAATTTAGTTTGTATTTTTTGTCAATAAAAAGATTTAGCAGAAGAAGACAAGCAAAAAAAAGCTGACGAAGCTGAATGTCAGGATATAGCATGTGGAAGGCAAATTGCAGATTTTAATAACTGAAGTTGAATTTTAGTAAAATAAGAAATAGAACAAGTTGCAAGCAAGCCTAAAGCATATGAGTGGCTTGTCATTTAAGTTTCCACAAGAAATTGAATCTTTAAAAAAACAAAAGTAGAGATTGCAGAGGTTCTTTACACTTGAGATGCTAGCAAAACCTATAGGTAATCAAAGCTCTTCTGAAAAATGGCATGTTTTGACTACCTATATTACAAAAATGCATTTATAAATATATACCAAAAACAGGAAGTTCATAATCTTTCCTATTTCTTTTATTTTATTTATTTGTTTTGAGATGAGGGTGGGGGGAGGTTTACAGCAAAGTAAGCAACAGCTCTACACATTTAAAACCAGAATATAAATAAGACACAGACCTAGAACTCCATACCTCCTCTAATTGCCGTTTGTACAGATCTGTTCGATAATATGCAGTTGAAAACAGCATGCTTGGATTATAGGAATTGAAAAGACTGCAAAATAAACACACAATTTACGTACGAATCATGTTCCAAGGTTCAAAAAGATGAAAAACAATGATTAGTCAATCGATGGATAGGAGTAAGTCTCCAGACATACATATATTGCCACAAAATTTGGCGGCGGCTGAAAAAACAAAAGCTAAAGCATTTATTCATCGATGGAGAAAATCATCCTAAAAGTCCTAAGAATATTCAAATTTTTCCTATTAATTTATAGATAAACTACTGGCCAGTAGATGTTTGGAAATCCAAGGAGTCACTCTATTATATAATGTGAAAACAATACCCAGATGCTTCAACTGATCGACAATAATTTGAGGACAGTTCATGATTGATCAAAATTTCAGAAACTGTTAACAACCAAAGGAAATATTTTTAAAAAGGAAAATTAACAGTGTTAAAGGATTTAAAATATTAAAGTTACACACTCTCTAACAGCTTAAGCTTTTAGAGTAAATGGTGGTTAACATGGTATCAGAGCAGGCAAGGTCTAAAGTTCAAACCCCACCGTCACCCCAATAATTAAAATTGAAACATGTGTTGGACCAAAAGAAGGCCACATGTGAGAGGCATGTTAGAGGATTTAAAATATTAATGTTACACATTCTCTAACAACTTAAACTTTTAGAGTAGATGGTGGTTAACAGACAGAATAAATGAACCGAGAATGAGCATGACTGAAACAGTTAGATTTGGTTAACCAATTGACCTAAGTATCCTCCGGATTACGATTTCATGCTAAACAAATTAGAAAAAGGATAAAAATATCAAATAAAAAACAAAAACAGAAATAAATAAATAAAAAGAGCACAGGGATGAAACAGAAAAATAATCTAGGGATGAAGGCAATATAAAGTTATAAATCAAATAATGAAAAAACATCCCTATTGCCATATTTATTATTCTTTTCTTTCTCTTGGTAAATTTAAAATCATAGGAATTAAGGCAGATGCACCACTACTCGCACCAGTGAGAAAGGAAGATTAATTTACTTAGAAGATAAGAGACAACACCACCAACCAAAAGTAAGTTCAGATTAAGTAATTAAGAATGCCTTTCAAAAATTAAATATAAGAGGAGACATGGCATATAATATAATATAATAGAGAGAAAGAGCACTATAAACTAACCTTTTGCTACCTCACAAAGGTCAACGTGTCACGTGGAGCAACTTTGGCAGACACTACAACAAGACTTTAGCTTGGCCATATCTACTCCACCCCCCAAAGAGGAAGTTGAGGGTTTTGAGTCCCAATTAGGACAAATTGGGTCTGTGTGCTTTACTTAAATTTTAGAGACACCACTAGGGCTGCAACTCCATGGGGGTCCATGACCAAAAAGAAACTTGGTCGGGATTGAGGAATTTTTCATAGTCCAAGAACACAGCAACACTCTGGGAATCCAACTCATGATCTGTACTCCATGGTTAAAAGCTTGTGCTTGGGTTATAAAAAATCAACTCGACCTTAATTCAGATTGGGTTTGGGCAGAACTCTCACGCAGTCCAACCTAACCTCAAATATGAATATATGCATGAATGATATATAATATATAGACTTATAAAAAAAAAAAGATATAAAGAATATATATAGATAGCATTGTTATAAAGCATATAAATTTCCATTTGTCTTTTTCTTTTCTTTTTAGCTGACATTATTTGATCATATTCCTTTTTTTCCCCTTAAAACACTCAAATTTTGATCTCTTCATGTTAGTCTTAACTAGCCATTCTCTACAAGTCCCAAAGCTAGCCACCGCACCTCCTTTGCTACACTCTCTCTGTCCAGTTTGTGTTCTAAATATCTCCTCATCTCAAACAAGAATCAGAGCACTAGCCACTAACCTAGAGAGCTATGAATTTCCATTTGTATTTTTCTTTTCTTTTTGGCTGACATGATTTGATCATATTCCTTTTTTTTCCCCTTACGACACTCAAATTTTGATCTCTTCATGTTAGTCTTAACTAGCCGTTCTCTACAAGTCCCAAACCTAGCCACCGCGCCTCCTTTGCAACACTCTCTCTGTCCAGTTTGGAGAAGCACTAGCCGCTAAAGTGAAACATTTTGTAAAGTCATGTTTCCGCATACCTGCTCAATGAAGCATTGTCATAAATATTCAGCCTCTCAAAGAAAGCAAGGGTATAAAATGTGAAACGATCCACAACAGAGACACCGACCTACATAAAAGACACAATTTGAATAAAGATAATACCAAGAGAGTGAATTTGGAGATAATAACTACAATTAAGAAGTATAGCATCCTTGGACATAACAATGTCCATCCAGTTACAACCTGAACAATGGAAGTGCAAGTAAATCCATACTTACATCAGAGTCCAAGTGATGTGAATAAGAGTTCTCTCCTTTCATGCTACTTCCAATAGCCAAAACACCAGGTGAACGAAGCTACAAAACAAGAAATTATATTACCTTCCACATCAAGAATAATCCTCAAATAATGCATATATTATTCTTATACAACAAGATACGAGCTACAATAGTTTAATGCCTATTATCACATTCATCAAACAATTCTAAAAACCCATGGCGTTGTTAACACGATCTTACTTAAATGTCATATGAATGCAAATGGTGAGGGGCAAAAAAGCCATATGAGTTCCAATCTTGACTGACACAATATGAAGGGTCCATTAGCAAGCTAGGTTGTACCAATTATTCTTAATGGAGTTTCACTTCATCTTTTTACACAACTTTTAGGTTTCTTTATAGTGCATATATAGAAAATATTAAGGTGGACAAGTATTATTAGGTATTATCTTTCTCAATTTGTGCAAAATTATAGTGTTTCAGAAGAGTCACTTTGAGAAGAATTTACCAAATATTATCTTTCTTGCATCGACATGCTAGTGTCAGTGTTGGCGGGAATTTTTCTTTTCTTCCCAGGGAGCATTGAGAAAGGAGAATCCCTGTCCCAACCCCTTCACTTACCATCCTTAAACATTGTTCTAGTCTGGTCCACTACATTTAATCCCCAAACAGGGCCCATGAAATATGGACTGGATTTTATTTTTCAGTTCAGAAGAGTACAAACTCTCTGACAAATGAATCACATGAGTTGAAGCCCATAAACTGAATAAAAAACTTGATTCAGAGTTTCTTGTTTTTTTTCCCTAGTTAACTTGATTAAGAGTTTCTTGAATATTGTATTTGTGGAATAATCACATCATTAAGTAATAGAATCACAAACCTGAGAAAAGAGAGTGGCAGCTTGGCAAGTGTCTACCATAATCAGAAGCTCTTTGAATCTGAAATTTGAACAAAATCAAGAACAGAACTCATTAATTGAGAATGATCATGAAAAACTAGCTTTCAGAATCTTACACAAACATAAGACAAATTTGTCTAACAGCCCTTTTAAATGTTTAAATTAATGGCAACCATTATTATATGAATCCAAGCTATGGATGCCATGTGTGTATAGTCATTACCATAGTCCTTCATTTTCACAGTTACGAATGTACAAAAAAATCAACTTGTGAACACAAACAGTTGTAAGTAAGACATACTCTCACCTACGCTTTTCTTTCATTTGTTTCACTGCATCAGCTAAATCATGACTCTGAAGCTCCTCCGAGTCTTGAAATTTTAGAAATTCGTCTCCTCCATGCCCTGTCATGTAAAGGAGTATGTGGCTTCCTTCATCACTCAAAAGACGCTTTGACCTTGGCACAGCAGTCTCATGACGCCCTGTTAAAACTCGCAAAAAGTTTTCAACTGTCACTTCATAACCTCGATAATCTACCTGTCATGGAGCATTGTATAATCAGAGAACTATTTAGAATAACAAATCAACTCAAAAAAGTTGTCCCGACTATCTGGGAGAAGCATCCTGTTTTGTCATTATGCTCCATGGAAGGTGATAAATTCAGTAAAGCCACATCAATATATTCACAATTTTTGTGAAGAAAATAATATATTACACATGTCATGTCTGGATTATATACGTATGAAGATTTGTTATCAGCGTACACTAATAGTTGAATGATACATCAAAAGTGGGGTTTAAATATGTCTTCTATTTCAAACATTGTGTAGCATAATTGTTTTTTAACTTTTTAAATATTAAACAGCTTAAAAAATGGTTTTCTATAGAAGTCCAATTCTAATATATGTATGCCACAAAGAAAATCAAAATGATAATGAATACCAATGGGAGTTTAGTCCTTTTACTCAAAGAAATATGAAATGTAAGAGCAGCACATTAGTTGATAAGATTTTGACATGAAAAAAAAGTTGACAATCTCATCCAGTACAATGGTTCTTTATTGGAAGAACAATTCATGCCATAGCAATTAAAGAAGAGGAGGCGAAGTAGTGGTTGAGCACTTTGTATTGAATACCAAGATTTTCTTTTAGCGGTTGAATTCATTTGAAAATGAAAAATAGCTTGCAGTAATTATTAGATCATGATCTTGCAATTAGTGGCAAATATTTCATCATACTGCATGAACTAAACCATATGATCATCAGTCTAACCATTTCTATCATTTGTGCTTTGAGCTTAAGCAAAAGGCCCCCAAAGGAATTCTCTTGACCATAATAAAATTATATATATGCCCAAAATAATAAATTCCAGAAGAAAATCTACAAATCTATATCACTTGGTTAAGAACAATGCCCGCACAGTAGAGGGGACTTAAAACTGAAGACATATTTTTGAAGTTAAATTTCTTATCTGTATTATGATTACACAACGATTCTGTCAAAAATGAAATTATCATACGAACAGTTACATCTAGTGTGCCACTTTTATGAATATGTAACTTTATGGAGAAAATTCTGCTTCTGGTTTAAGGGTTGAACTTAGTTTGATGTTTAACGGACCGAATTGAATGCGTACTCTTCAAAATAAGAGCCAAAAGTTAAGAGATGAAACAAAACTTGCCTCAACGTTATCTCCATACAAATTAAGTCTGTGGTTTTCATTGTTGAAGACTTGGGCAGGGTACTTGTTCCGAGCATTGCAAGCCATATCATCAGCCAACATAAGTATTATCCTCTCGTCAGGTATTCCTAACCGTTTTACTGTCCTAAATTTAAAAAGGAAAAAAGGCCAAGTTATGAAAATAATTTAGTAATTGAAAGAATTATACAAGAGGATCAAAAGATTCAAAATGAACTTAAATCAATAATACAAGTAACAACAAACTTACCTATATAAAGATAAAGTATTGGCCATATGCCGATAATTAAACCTGAATAGGAACAGCAGGAGTATCAGTTTAACACTTTAACAGCAAGGTTATATATAACATGAAATCTCGAGGCCGTACATAAGACGGTTCTAAATTCTCCCATCAGTGTATCAACTTTAGCATTTTGTTGATGATTGCGATCACAATAGAAATCTAGTCATCCAAATTGACCTTTTCTTCACCACATTTTTTTTTTTTATAAGTTCCTTTTTTTCTCCAAATTTATAAGTAGATGATCCAAAGTTGATAAAATATGTTGTGCCATGAATAGAACAAAAGTAATGAATAATTTAGAAAATAAATAAAAATTTAAAAGTAACTAAGTAATGCATTAGAGGAATAAAACAGGCCAAATGTGTAGTTTTCATCACATTAAAATAAAAATAAAAAAACAAAATTCATGAACTATCAGATTGGTTTATTAACTTTATTACAATATTACAGAAAATCCAGTCCGAGACAAAATATCCGCACCATCTCAAAGCATTCATAACAATACAACTGAAAATCAGTTGTTGAGAGTTTTCTATTAATCAGGAAATGAAAATGAATTTTAAAAAATTGAAGCAGAATATATAAAATCACTCTTTCAATCCAATTTTTCTACTACAAACACACCTCGAATTCAGAATCTTCTAAACAATAGATTACACACGAAGTAACAGGATCTAGCAGATATGATATGCTTCTCAGAATGCCCTAATTACGAATTGATTTATTAAAAAATCACTCTATTATCCTCCCTTTTGTCGGTAGCCAAACAGTGGTTTTCTTTTAATTAAAAAGGGTGTGAGGGAAGAAATCAAATTGGACTGACCAGAAACGAGATGTGCAGACCAAGACAGCCCAATTGTTGGTGTGAATTGTGGTTGCTGAAGAGGAAGAAGACGACGAGCTTGAGGCAATCGCATTGCAGAGAAGAATCGGACACAGAAGCCAGAATATGAACACTGTGTGCTTGAAGGAGCTGGCCATGTTCAAATGAGTCAACGCCAGTTTCTATTTGCTCTGGAAAGTGTTAAATCATCATTTGATCTTCGTTTAATTGTCATGAATTGGAAAATGCTGATTGAATTGTGACCTTACGGTTAATTAAACTAGAACCGTATTATAACTACAGTAAAGCGAAGGCAAATAATACGACTTTAGAAGGTTGAGAAGAAAATAATATATTTATGATTAGGTTTACTTACCAAAATCATATTTATAACTAGGTTTAAATTCAAGATAATTTCGTGGTCTTTTTCTTTTTCTTTTTTTCATTTTTTTTTTTTTTTTTAATGATAGAAAGTGTTAAATAAGAACTGACTGTTCATTTATTTTTATTTTTTCAAAACTCTGTTTGAAATTGAAATATGTGAATGGCTTGATAATATTTTAATGAAATTTTATGTCATTTCTATTTTTAAGTAGTTTAATTACTTTGAGAAAAAATAATGAACAATATTATTAAGAGACTTTCATTGTGATAAAAGTCATGAGCTGTCATTTAATTACTCAATTAAAATAATTTTTAATTAAATTATCTCCAAAATATGTTTCCAGACACCACTTTACAATTACAACCATCTCCAGTACAAGCTTTCAGGCAACGAGTACTTGGGTATTCAAATTCCACTTGGCATGTTTGGCTGAAAATAAAATCGCCATATGCATCCCATTTTTCAGTCTCTCTTTTTTGTGAAAATGTTGTAAGCTTGCTCTTCCAGTTCATCAGCTTCTCCTGGTGCATGGCATGGCTGTTGAGTCCGTGTGTCCCCGGTGTTGCCTTGAGGAGGAATCCATTGAGCACTTGTTGTTTCTATGCCCTCACTTTATTCAGATTTGGAAATTATCGCCTTTGAGGTTTGATTTTACGTCTGATCCTCCTTTATCATTTAAAGATTGGTGGATGTCTTTATTGGCCCAATGGGTGTCTCAGGCAGAGGGTCAGGATGTGTTGGGTATGGTGGCTTATTGTTGCTGGGGTATTTGGAAGGAGCGGAATAGGTTTATTTTGGAGGGGGAGCTTTATACCCCTCTTCGGGTTGTTCGCTGGGCCTCTTCTCAGATTTGGGAGTTTAAGGATTCCTCTTATTGCCCTCTCCATCGTCTGGCTCCTACAATGTTTGGTGCTACCTCTGTTTTGCCTCCTCATTCCTCCCCTTCAAATTGGTTGCCACCTCCTTTGGATATTGTTAAATGTAATGTGGATGTGTCATTCTGCTCTTCAGCTCACATTGGGGGTGGGGGTGCTGTTTTTCGTGATTCTATGAGTTCTATTATTCAAACAGTGGTTTTTTTATGAATGGTTTTGTTTGTGGGCCGGTTGAAATTCATTCTGTTTCGTTTGATGTGCAAGTGCTACTTGGGTGATTCTCCTTTTCTTGTCTTAGTCCTGTCCGTCGTCATGACAACGGGGTCTTCTATGCACTTGCCCAGCTTTCTCATCCGCATATTCACGACGACATTGCTTTTGTTCATATTCCTGGTCATATTCTTGAGCTGGCAGCCAAGGACAGTTTGTTTTGATCTTGAGCTGGCAGCCCAGGACTGTTTTTTTCGCTAGATTGTAAGAAAAATGATACGTATAAAAAAAGGTCAGGGTTTTTGTAACCTTTAGGAAATCTATTTTTAGTTTGATAAAAATGAAGTCCACAAGGTCCTTGAGAGTCAATTTGATACAAGTATGCAATAACGTAACATTCAATAGTATTAGAAACCCTATGCATGTTCTTGCAAAATCATCCTCATATCAATGCGTAATTTATTAGTTATATATCATGTCACCAAAATGACACTAGTTATATTTAAATTTTCTCAGCAAAACCAAGTATTTACTATTTACACAAAGTAGCTGCTCTCAAAACTCGAACATACATTCTCACACTTGACCACCAGTGATTTTTATGCATCTATTTTCCAGAACCTCTCTGCCGTCTCCGTAACAAACCTGCTCGCGAGTTTTTCAAAGGATTCACTTCAATTGTGAAAAACAAATGAGCAGTGTGATGTATCTAGGTGATATCTGCAAGACAATGCTGAAACTGACGATACTTCATACTTCTACACACACATATAAGATACTACTAATCATAAAATTAACTTAACCAAACTGAGAAAAGCAGAGCAAATCAACTATTGGGCTCACATATATGACCATATGGTGAGCTCCCGCCACCGATTTTATATCCAAAACTGGCTACATAGAATGCAGAAGTGCTCTTAGTATACACAAGTAGGGGCCTGTACAACGGTAAACATATGATTGAACATTCGTCGTGATATATACAATAATTTTTTCGCTTTCTGTTAATAGCTGGTTAAGAAACAAGAATCAAGCATGAGAGGAGATAGTAAACTGTAGGACAGACAAGGTGACCGATCACGAGTGAACTGTTGAATGCTTAGAGCTAGAAGATCATTTACCAACGGCAAATCCCAGGAGCCTCTGTCCGCAGTAGAGCAACCATCTCTTCATACTTTGAAGCATATACAAAGCCCCATAACTGCATAACACAGGAAAACTTCGTGATTTCTACATTATTTTTTGTTGCATTGCTAAGCTAAACCAACTGTTAGATCACACTTGCATATGCATTTCAATTCTCACTATAACAGGTAGTAATTGCAAGTAATAGTGTACATGTGCTAGTGTGTGTGCAGTTAGTAACTCCACAAGCAATAGTGTATGAGTGTGCACGTGCCTGTGCCTGTGCCTGTGCTCTGTGTGTGTGTGTGTGTGTGTGTGTGTGTGAGAGAGAGAGAGAGAGAGAGAGAGAGAGAGAGAGACGTATGTACACCTCAATTTCCTTCACTTCAAAATCTTCAGTATGGGCCAAACAAGGATTCCCATAGGTTTCCGAGGCTGAACTTGATCCATTCAATCTTAATAATGAAAACTGAAAATTAGATTTCAACATAGCAATTCCTATCTTTATGTTCATTAAGCATGATTGAGAGTTATGCAAGGAATATTACAAGTTCGAATTCAGAAATAAAGAAAGGGAAAAAATACTCACAGATCACAATCCAAATACAGTGCAAAGTGACCACCACCACCCAATGCCAGAAATTCAGAGGAGCACAATGTGAAATAGCGGTTAACACCTGCTTATATGATGCTGTCAGCACCCCCCAAAAAAAAATCCATAAAAAAGAAATGAATGATTGAACCGTTGAGATCAAAGTCACACACCCTTTCAGGTCATACTTCATGACCAACGAAGTCCGAACATCATGTTACAACTTTTTAACATTTATATTGCGATGTTGTGGCCCGAATTTTGTTTCGGCCGGGGTCGCGATGAATGGAAAAAAAAATTCCGATCCACTTTCGCTTGCAGGTCTTGTAGCCCGGTATCTAAGGCCGTAAGGGCATCTAGGTTTTGGAGTGGGCAACGAGAGAATACTGAAAAACTCAGGAAAGAGAGTGAAAGAAAGATGTAGGGTTTACGGGTTGAAACTTGTAAGACTTATCAATGCCGGTAGCAAGACTAAAAGTTGTACGACATAACAGAAGAGGATTTATTCACTGGATCTTCCTTGGGGAGCAGGCGTATGCTGAACCACGTAAATCTTTGTGTTCTTTATGTGTGGCGTGTTTACTTTTCTGTTGTGATTCTTATTTTGTTCTTGGTTCGCTGCGTTTGTCGTAACATATATCTTATCAGATCTATTGCAATTCTCGTATGAGTTATAGAAATTTTATATAATCTCATTTCAATAATCCTTTTAAAGATAATGTAATGCAAGGTTGAAGGAATGAGCCCTGCCCATAGTTGTCAATTCTGGTCAACTCAGTAAATGACAAGAAACAAAATTGACACAATCATAAAGCACACCATGAGAGTTAGAAGAGAGATCATGTAGAGAGAATGGTTTATGAAACAATCAAGAAACCCATAATAGAAATTAGCATGTTCTCAGAAAGAAAGATTATGGCGCTAATGTATATCCAATAATGATTAACAGTCATTTGGATCTGGTCCAGAAATTGGGCCAGCAGAAAGTGCTTAAGAAGAATGATAATAACAACCGACTTATAGCTGGTGTTTGTATAAACCATTAAAAGTTTAAATGCATTTCAATACGTTTCTTCATGTTAAATGCAAAATATGTATGATAATTTTGTAGTACAAGCATGATAACATGAATAATATCCCATGAAACCCCTGGGATCATTGAAGCAATCAGAGTTTAGATCAGATATAAAATTATAATTAAAAGGGGTTAAAAGGGGGGAGGGGGGGGTGTAGAAGATCAACCATTACAGATGAAATTTTGCAGTATCTCTTAACAAACCTGAATAGCATTAAAATGTAAACCAGTAGTGTTTTATTAATTGTTTCTATCATGAAGAAAATCAACTTAATTCATTAAGGGGAAAAAAATCTCAACATTTCAAAAAGCAGTCAAATGCTCAAGTAGTAGTTGCCTGAAAGGAAAAGGAAGAATTTTTGTACCTGTGGGGCGAAATATATCAGGATGGCCAGGTGTATTTGTGAAAACAAATGTATCATTCGTTCCCTGATCAAAATTCAGTTTAGTAAGAAATATGTTCTGAATTAGTTCCAAATAAGTATTTGGTTCACCACCACCTGATATTTTCTCTTGTTCGTTGGTCTTAAGGGTGCTTCAACAAGGCCACCAAATACTGCACCTTTACGATCTCCAACAACCTGATAAAATTAACGCACTTATGTGATAAAGATACAATTTCATCATAGATGAAATTTACATGTATGCAAGCCAGCACGTCAAGAATTCATAGAAGAACTTACGGAAAAAAATGTCAGAAAACAGATTAACCAGCATAACAAAAGCTCAGACTTGAAAAATATAACAAGTCTTTCAATTGTCATGAACACCAAAATAATTGCACTTATAATCTAGTATATTAAAACTACTAAGTTGTACAGGTTGAAAATGTAGTATGTGGAAACCAGAATCTTTTTCTTCTTTTTGATAAGTAAGAATTAAAATATATACCCAGGGCACATTATTTATCATAAGAGCGTAGCTTTCTTGCTCCACATTGCATATTAGGATGAACATTTATCTTTTTGACATCCATGGGTTGGGGCACGTGATGAGTCAGAATACCAGATTTATGTAGCAATGGAAAGAAATGGAGTTTCAGAAATTACTTTGCAAGGAATCACAAAATATCTTGACAAGATTATATAATGAATTTGTGGGATATAAAGAAAATATATTAAGGGAAAAAGGAAAATGAAATAAAAAGGATATGGGATCCTACTGCCCTCATTCAACATAATTTATCGATGGCTCTTTTATTTCTGAAGTAATTCAAAATATATAGGATTTCAATTGTCAAATGCGTTAGATAACCCATGAATTATTGTATCATGCGTATATATTCTGGTTTTATTTTCTCAACGAAGAGGTTGGATAAACTTTAGAAATGTAGAACAATATTTTGAGGATTTAGCTATGAATGATTTAGACAACCGTAATACCATAGGAAAAAGGAAAATGAAAAATGAAATAAAAAGGATATGGGATCCTACTGCCCTCATTCAACATAATTTATGGATGGCTCTTTTATTTCTGAAGTAATTCAAAATATATGGTATTTCAATTGTCAAATAACCCATGAATTATTGTATCATGTGTATATATTCTGGTTTTATTTGCTCAATGAAGAGGTTGGATAAACTTTAGAAATGTAGAACAATATTTTGAGAATTTAGCTATGAATGGTTTAGACAACCATAATACCATATCCAATAGCTTTTTAGTGAAATTGGACACATGGCATGCCCATCCATCTGAGTGAATTTTTTTTTTTCTCAAATAGGCAAATGCTCACTTAGTCAAAGAGGCTTTCTCCAAGCAAAAAGTACACAAATGCTTAAGCTGTAAAGAAACTGCTAATGTCTTCTTCAAAGGCATAGCATAGTTGCAGTAAGTAACATTTATACTTCAATTTGAACTCGAGACCAGAGGACATCATCTTCAAACTGTGACAGATATTTCAGGAAAGAAAATTACCAACAAACTAAGTCCAGGACAAATCATGCTTCTTCTATAAAGGGTTAATAGCGATATGCCATGCCTCCATGTACTGCAGGCAGCAATATGCCAAACATCAGAAGCAAATAAACAATGTACATTTTGGGAGGGATCAACATTCAAATTTTAACAGATATAACTTGTGTTTACCTGTATAGCAATACCCATTTCCTCCCCTGAGCAAGTGCGGGTAATGCAGCATAAAGAGCATTTCGAGTTTTCTCGGACAGAAGCAATGAGGGTTCAGAAACTTCTGGGAGATCGTCCAAGGGCACAGGCTCATTTAAAGATTGCATAGGAATCCCCTCATCTCCAACAACTTCAGAATCATTTCTGCCATTAGTTGTCATGTTGGAACTGCTCTTGCGCTCTGAGGATTGACTTCGATTCCCACCTAATCTTGCAGCCTGATAGATAGCTCTGCCAAGGGACTGTTTACCCCTTGAAAACAAACTTCTCTTTCCGCCACTTTCTCTCATTATTGTGTCAGATGCTGTTTCACTCATCTCCGCTTGAGGCTCATTTCGCTCATCAATTTCAGAATTACTTCCAGATTCTTTGGTGGACAGCAGAGAATAGATAAATGCAGTAAAAGAAGATGTATCAGGCTCGTCAACTAGATCCCCAGAACCCTCCTCTGTAATTGACTCTTCTTGATTTCTTTTTGGCTCAGTCACATCTTCCTAGCAGAACAAAAACCAAATACTTATAAGTCGGACAAGAAATAAATAATCTAAATTATATATAGATATTTTCATACAAATTAAAAAATTTACAGACTCATGTAGTTTAGAATCTAATACAACTATCTTTCATTTCAAATGGATGTGAAGAACGTTTTACATTATAACTAGGGAGTTCCACTAGTTTTGTGCTTGTGATAAACATGAATGTGCTCTGCGATTAGTTATTGTTCCAATTATTACAATCTCTCTCTTCCCCCTTGAAGTGGGGAGAATTTTTTTTTTTTTTTCCTTCCCTATAAAACATTAACTGCCTTTGTTAATTGACAAGCTTTTACAGCCTCTGATGGAACAAGAGACAAATGTAAGAAACATGGAGCCGTGAAAAGTACCCAGTTATTCCATTAAATACTAAAGCTAAAAACAGATAAGGATAAGGGTAAACCGACGCCTAAACCCTAATCCTACACTGTATAGAGCTGTACATTCACTAGATTATAGCAAATGACTCCTAAATATGCTTGTGTATCAAAGAAATAGTAAAAAAAAATTTTCATCAAATTCATGAACTGATTGTTGTTAAAGTTGCCCATGAGAAAACCCTAGAAAAGAACTCCAAAAATTAACACGGAGTTCCACAACATCAAAAATAACGATTGCCGTGACAGGAAAATCCATATACTGAGTATAAACCATAAAATTTGGAACTGGGTCTCTCTAATAATAATCAAAATATGAAACATCGATAGTGGTGTAATCAAATTCCTAACAGAAACTGAGTTTTCAATAACACAAAAAATAGTAATTAACGGAGAGAGAGAATCTTACAGGTGGAGGAGGAGTAGGCTTGGAGGGTTTGTCATAGATGGGATTGAGGATGACAGTGGTGAGATCAGATACAAGGTGGGCTGCTTTACTCCTCAGAGAGCGTTGTTGGTGCTTACCCATTTTTTTGTATTTTTTTTTTTTTTGATCAGATAATATTCCCACTAGCTTTTGGCTTATGCTACGTCCAAATTTTTTTCCCCCAAACCCAAAGCCGATAATATATATAACGCCTCTCTCTCTCTCTCTCTCTACAATAATATATATATATAAGCCGATAATATATATACACTGATTATATATATTAATCAGTGTCTTTGGGGTGGAGAAATAAGGTATTTGGCGGAGTAGAAAAGTGTATTACGCGAGTCCCATTTTCTTTTCGTTGGATTGTTTGATAGTTTTTGTCAATAATTTGTCAGAAACGTCCGCTATCCAACTTAGGTAGAACACAGAACCAGCGTTGACAGGGAGTGTTACGAGTATTGACTTTAAAGGTATATAAGAATACCAAGTAAAACAAAGGCAACAAGGACTCCGTGGCCCAATGGATAAGGCGCTGGTCTACGAAACCAGAGATTCTGGGTTCGATCCCCAGCGGAGTCGTTGCAGTCCTTTTTTTTTTTTTTTTTCTATTTTCAGAATGCGATGTTTTAAAAAGATAAATAAATTTCTATTAAGCAAAGCATATAAAAAGGGTAAGGCGCTGGTCTACGGAACCAGAGACTCTGGTTCGATCCCCAGCGGAGTCGTTTGAAATTACATTCTTTTTTCAGATTTTTTTACTTTTTTGCAGTGAAACGAGAAAGTTGCACTGGTTTCACTGGATAGATTTCCATATTTTAAATGAACAATGTTACCCAAAATTTATATAGAAAATCGTTGGTGGACAGTGGACAACAGAAGTCCAATTAACCTTCTCCCCTTTCAAAATTTTAGGATGTTTTGAAACAAATAAATAACTTTCAAAATAGGATCCTTAATGTGTACTTTAATTTGAAACCTTCTCCCCTTTCAAAATTTTAGGATGTTTTGAAATAAATAAATAACTTTCAAAATAGGATCCTTAATGTGTACTTTTAATTTGAAAAAGCAGAGACTAATGGATAATCTTTATTATACACTGACATTTCATATTATAAAATAATTATAAACTTGAGTATCTATTCTTTGATTCACTCAATATATGATAGTCATGAAATGAGCATGCAATATAAAGTTTAAGAATAAAGAATTGTATGGATCCCAATACGGCAATACATAATGAATAAATAAATAATCCGCTGCCGTAGCTCTCAAAAGAGCCGAAAATCAAATCATTGTTTAGGTTGGCTAGGCGGATGTTTTGCAACTGTAGCATATTATTTTACTCTTATACTAAAAAACAGAGGGAACAAATACTGTTTTTTAACGACTATCAATTACCCAAGAAAATGCTATCTATAGCACAATCCATATTCTAGGTATAAAAAGGAGAAACACCACTATTGAAGTAATCCAATTAGGCATCCATCCATGTGTTCTGAACTAAATCTCGAACCCTAAAATTGTATTTCTACAACAACCCACATTCACCAATCCACAACCCACAGGTTAATCAAGCACCAAAGAGCTTTCATCAGTCAAAGATGGGTAACGTACTAGTATATAAAAAGATGAACAAGTAATTGCAATAACATAATACAACCGCTAAGCATGTCATACTTAAACCAAGGCAATGCTGCTCTCGCCGCCAGGGGGCTTGCGGACACCACCGCGGTAATCTCTGGATTCCATTTTTCCATCAGCAAATATGTTACTGCCGCTTATTTCTCTCAGCTTAGCCACACTCAACGGCTTTTCAGCAGATCCTGGGGGAACATCTCCCTTGAAAATGTTGTTGCCGGTTAGCTCCGCGAACTTCTGATCATGTATTTTCTTTGCAGTCTTGATCACAGGTTCTTCGCTGAAAAGGATATTGCTCTGACCTCCAGCAGGCTGTATATACGAAACCAAGTTCAGTACAGAGTTACATAACCAGGAACTGAAAACACTGAATATTTTCAAAGCAAACTTCCTAAAAAAACCATCTAAGATAAAATAAAAAATAAAAATTCCATGTGGCAGGACTGGAAGAAGCATATCTTCCTTCCACTGTGCCGCTGTATGCTTTCATGGATATTCAGTCAAAGGTTGATTTATGGTTCTTAGGACAATGGAAAAAAGTATCAAGTCGCACAATATATGATTATCTATATATTATTTGATGTGTTCTTGCCATGTTCGTCGTGTCTTGTATCTCTGTCCGTATCCATATCCTTGCTTCTTGGCTCTTTTGGTATTCTTTAAGTTCAATTTCTGACGCAACCTCTCCATGAGTGGTCATATGTATGTTTAAGAAGGAACTGGCACTAAATTTTGTATTTCAACTTTGCACCCAAGCTAAATATCACTGAGAGATTGGCGGTAACTCACATTAGAAACTTTGACAGATGTTCGTACATTCCGTGGTGCAGGTTCCCCCATGTCTTTGCTTTCTTTTGATTCCAAGGAACGTGCGGCAGCCAATGATCGGGGAGGAATTTCAGAAGGGGGGGCGAAGATGTCATGTCCACTGAGTTCCTTGCACTTTGCATCTGACAACTGCTTCTTAACTTTGGAGTCCGACTCGCTTTCCAGCGTCCCGCTTAATTCACGCTGCTTGGCTACCTCAGTCAGAGTGGCAGGCTTCTTGGGAGAGAGATTCTCCTCGGCACTGAATGAAATCTGGCTAATTCCATTTACTGCTTGCTGAAAATCCAATGGTATAACTTATATATCGTCACCATGATAGATTCCTAGTCTTTAGGTATGGTCATACTACACATTTTAAATAGTAAGATCAAATAAATACCTGATAAATACGCAATCCAGTTCTGTTATTAGGACTAGAATTAGCAGTGCCAGATTCTGGCATACCATCTTCAGTATCAGCTGCAAATATTTTACTCCCAGTGATCTCCTTTAATTTATATCCTGAACACGGTTTCCTGAAAGTAGAAAATTGAACAGTTCAAGAAGTCCTTAGTAAAATGTGAGCAAAACAAGGGTACTTCGTGAAGATTCTAATGGAGGCAGCTGGAGATTCTGAAGATTACAGCAGAAAGAAGAATTTGAGGTTTGAATTCAGATTCAAGCAACATTACTACCCCTTTGGTGGTATAAAGTTTAATTCAAAAGGCATGATCTGTCTGGTCCCTACCATGGTTTAGGGGGCCCTCTAAACTGATTAGTGTCTTAGAAGGTCAAATAAGAGGTGGTGGCAATGTTGCATTGTTGGTTGGCCACACTTCCGGCTGGGTCAGGCTCTGATACCATTTGTAACAACCTCACCCTATCCAGACACAATATTGTCCGCTTTTGGCTCCCCCGGACCAGAGACTTCCCAGGAGATCACCCATCTGGTACTACTCCAAATTAAGCACACCTAACTACGGAGTTTTGATGGGTTCACGGCCATCACGGCTTTAAAACACGTTGTGTCATAGAAGGGTGTTGAATTTACATATAGCACTTGCCTTTTTCACACCCAGACGATGCGGGAGTGTGCACCTATAGCTTGCCCAGTATGGTTGCCTGTCAGTGCCTCGCACCTGCCCACGCACACCCACCCACATAGATTGCCACAGAAGCTGTGGAGAAAATTGCCTCCAATTCCATTCTGGAATTCTTATAATAAATTTCAGATATATGGCATGGACAAGGAAATGGCCGGGGGATGACTTTCACATTAATGACAACTTGATACGTTAACATTTCCAGAGAAAGGACATAGGCATGACAAGGATATGAAAATACATGCATGATAAGACATAATCATGCTAGCCTTCATTTTTCTATGACTACACTCCCTCCTGTATTTCAATCCTAAATATCTCCTTTCTTAATGAATTGCTCACTTTATATTAATTTTTATATAAATGCTTATTACCTCTTTCCTTCACAATTATAAACTTTGAATTCTTAAACAAGATGTCTCCAAAATAGGGAAAAAAAAAAAAAAAAAGGCTGTCTTCGATGCTTAAGGCATATTGGACAATTGTCTAATAGTCAGTGTCTACCATTTGTACAAAATAATATTTTCATGTGCCCACGGGTTATTGAGAAGCTTTAGTACTAAATCTTCTGACAGTCTGACCAGTCAGATTAGTTTCTTGAGGAGATGAAACAAGATGAGGTGGTTCCCACTGGCTTAGGGTAAGTATGAAGGAAATATTCAAATTAATTTTTTTAGCTTCTAGTTCCAAAGTTATTTTTCTTTAAATTATTTATCTGAGATTCTTTTCTTATTTATAGTAATTTCTAGTCCAATGTCATCACGTGTTAGTTTAGCATTTACTGGAAAACTTGGGAGTTCCCAATTTGGGAGTTGGAATAAATAGAGTTCGGTAGGACATGATTATCATATTTGTTTAGGGTGAGATTCAATAAATAATTGCCGAGTCGAGGTGAGATTCTTGGCAGGTTTTAACTACCATACAAGTTATACTTATTTCTCCTTCACTAAGTTCTCAGTGATTTTCTAGTTTTTAAAGGCAGTTGGTTGGTTCAGCGGTTCAACGCTTGAACATCAGTGCCATTGGTTCGAGTTGAGCCCCAGCGCGGCCACTTTGTGAAATATCAAATGTTAGAACTATCTTGAATCCTCCCTTACAAAACATTCAGAATTTAAGAGGCGGTGACAATGCAAGAACAAATACAAATAAATGATATCCTTTACCAATGAAAATGGGGAACCAGCACGAGAAAAGAAAGAAAAAGAAGTAGTAAATCAGTTAAATGCTCATTGTAGAGATGGAAAAATAAAATAAATATAGGGTTCAAAACTAACAAAGAAGTTAATTAGTATGCAGAGACTTAGATTGCTCCTCTTGAGCAAAAGGGCAAGTCCTAATGTCAGCAAAAAAGGTAAGAATAGAGCTAACAAAATATATTATTTGGGCAAGAATGCAAGCTCAGCAAGAGAGGCTACTTATTAAGTACTGCTCAATATGTGAAGTCAAAACTTTGCAACTGATGAGGTCTGATTAACAGAGTAGCTCGATTTTACGAGTGAGAACCCAGCTTGCATTCTTGCCTACTACAACTTTGTCTGCTATTTATATATATATATATATATATATATATAATTGGAAAACCAATGCATTAATTTCTGAAGAAAAAAGAAGAAATATTAAATTGGAAAACGGATTATATTTTGTCTAAAAGAACCATAAGTTCATTAACTGGCTCAAATGTTGACTTAAAAATAAATAAATAATAGGCCCTAAGCACTGAGTGAATATTTTATGAAGTATATCAACAAAATCCCTCTATACAATTGTCAATCGCATAATTTTACATTCCAAGTCAAGATTTTAGCTACCAAGTCATATCATGATTTCCCAAAGCATTGAGGCAAAATATTAATATCATGAGCCACACAAGGCAGCATGCCATAGTTCAAATAATACTGATCACTAACCAAAAAAAAAAAGAGAGGTCACTTTTCCCCAATCAATTATTAATGGTCACATTGCTGGATTCGTGATTAGTAGCGCAAGTGCTTTATGCAATACTCTAACTAGAATAGCCCAAACCCAATTTAGCAGGCACAAAGCATGGGTAATAAATCCTTTTGAGTTTTGTGCAGAGTTGTGCCTTGCATTGGCCAATAAGGAAGTCATACTACTGCCCACTATTTCTAAACCAATTAATCATCAAAAAAAAAAAAAAAAAATTATACCCAAATAAAAAGCTGAAGTTTGAATATGGTTCTACCAACAGCTTACACAACAAAGGAGACTCCAAAGTACAATTATGTTAACTCACTAAAAACAGTCAAACTACTCAATCATAATTATTAGCACACTAAAGTCTTGGGAGCTTTATGGTTTCAGGTAGTTAAGGTTAAATAAGGTAGCCAAAGGGCTTTCCATTGATGCTCTTACTCCACTGCATACTAAACCATTATGTTGCATTTGGGAGCACCGAATCGGTGCCTTGGATTTGGAATTGGAACAAATTTAGTTCAAAATTTTAACTAAATTTCTTCCAATTCCAAATTCAAGCCACCGATTCGGTGCACCCAAACATGGCATTAGTTTCTTTTCATTTGCAATTGCCAATCAGAGGGCTGGTCATCAAAGGTGACTCCAAAGATCAATTATTCAAAGATAACCATTAGTTTTTTCCATTTGCAATCGCCAGTCAGAGCGCCGGCAATCAAAGGTGACTCTAAAGTTCTGCTCTTCAAAGATTTCTTTCAGTTCATAACTTAGCTTTCCTTCAGTTTATTCTGACTTAGTTTGTTTAATAGTGAAGTAGGTCGTATCTTACATGATAAGAATATGCAAATATATATGTATGTATGTATGTATGAATATGTATATATACATGTTACAAAGTTGTAGCTTGTACAGGCCAAAAGGCAGTCAAGCTGTACAATTCTAAATAAGAGGTTGGAAGCAACAAAACCTCCTATAATAACACTTGGAGCACTTTAATTAATTTTTCAATAGGCAACAGTACTTCCGCAATTCCTAGTCTTAAACCTTTAAAAAAATAATAAATAAATACACTAATAGAAAGCTCAAAAAAAACTTAGATTACAACTCATACAAGGAAAAAGTAAGATATGTTTACAACTATGAACCTAATAAGGGTTTTCCCTAATGTAGATATGAAAAAACTAAACATGATCTGAACTGCTGAAAGAGGCAACAAAGATATTAAAAAATAAATAAATAATTCAAAATAGTTTACAGCATTGAAAACTAAGAAAAGATTTTCAAGATGTGTTTTTCGCAAGCAAAAACAAATGAAGGAACAAGAAAAAATAATTGCCTTCATCTTAGAAACATAAATTTGCACCATGTTAATTGTTCAATTCCTTCTGATTGATACCAAGATAAACCTGATTCACAAGTTGAACTGTTCCAAGTAATATATAAATAAACGAAAAATAAATAGCAATAGGAAGCCAAATTTCATATATGAAGTTTAAAAGAAAAGCACACAAACACATATTGGGGCATGATCTGTATACCCTCAAAACAATCACTGAAAACAACTAGAGACGAGAGGGTTCATGTTCATGCTTAAAGAAACAGTTCTGAACAAACCAATCACATTTCAAACAGATCTAATTAAACCATTTTTGCAATCATCCATAAGATAGAGCTCAACAAGAAGACCAATGTTCCTGGCGATTCTTTCAAATCGAATAATCAAGCAATAAAAGACTGAAACAAATCACCAACCATTCATAACACATTCAAAAAACATGTGGAAGATGAAAATGCATTAGCAGATCTGAGCACATCCAAGTACAAACTTCACAAAGCACAAGACCATCGAAATACAAACAAAACAAGAACAATGCAAACAATGATTTGAACTTTAGAACTAAAGTACTAAACTAATCACACAACAACTTTTCAAAACTATAAATTAACAGATTTAAGCACATACTAAAGCAGATCCCTCTCACCTTTTATTCAGACTCTCAGCTTCTTCTTCAGTGATCTGACCTCCAAACAACGCCTTACTGATACGGTCCGATGGCTGACAATTTTCCAAAAAATAAAAATAAAAGACTGGAAACCCTAGTAAATCGGCGGCTAATAAGGTCTGACGTTTCTGGCCGGAAAATGACGTACCTGATGGGAGCGAGAGGTATTGCCGGAGGCGGTGGCAGGAGATTCCGCCGGCGGCACCTCCGACCACGTGAGCAGATCGGCGGTGGAGGTGTGTGACTTCCGTACAGGTTGTGCCCTCTCCATTGTTGGATTCACTTTCTACTCAAACCAAGAAAAAGAAATGGAAGATATTGACTGGGAAGAAGGGTGGAGAGTCTAGAGAGAGAGAGAGAGAGAGAGGTTGCACACTGATACACACACTGTTTCTCTCTCTATACTGCTGCTCTGTCACTGTATTTAACTACTCCTATTTTAATATCTTCACTCGGAGCTATTCTATAATCACGCGCAGTGTCGTCAAGGATATTAGTGCGCGACGTTAGGTGATTACAAGTGACGCCCATATCGGACCACTCAGTCTGTATCAGGGGTTAAAAATGGTCACAATTATCACAGTCGCGTCATATTAGTATTCTCTCCGAATAAACAACAAACATCTGAGGGGCTCTCTCTGTGTCGCAGAGCTTTTGATTTGGAACATGTTTCCGCGGTTTTTCCCTCTCAATTTAGATAAAAATTACAGTGAATTTCTACCAAACTTACTACAGTATTAATTCACGAAAAGGAGAATTTTTACCCAAATCAAAAGTCTTAAGAAAGGGTATGGGGGTGAAGTATTCAAAAGTGTGCGAATAATATTTCTGGACATTAAAAAATTATTCTTTGTAATTTTAAAATTGTGCAAATAAGAACTTCTCGCTCTCAAAATTGACATGTGAGGATGTGACAAAAAAAGTTCTTTAATACCAATAATGCCCTTTTGGAGTACCCAAACTACCATTTACTCATTTCTCTCTCATTTCTATATGTATAATATATATAATAGTCTTATTTAATTAATTTTATTTTTATAAATACTCTATATATAATACACGTATTTTCTATATATTACTCATTATATTTTCTATATATATTACTCATTATATTCTATATAATACTCCTATTTATGTATTTTATTTATTTTTTATTTCTCTCTAATACTTTTGTTTTCTTATTTGTATTCTTTATTTATTTTCTTCACTCTCGATATAATATAATTTTTCTTTTCATATTTTTATTATTTATTTATTTTATCCCTCTCTCTCTCTCTCTATCTAAATATTCTCTTTCTATATAACGGTTACAACTTGCATGATGAAGATAAAATCTATCCATCCCACCGGCGGCAACCTATCAAGATTTTTTCGCCCTCTTCCACTACGCCCACCCAATTTCCCCACCTCCGACAAAATGTCCGCCGCCGAGCTTAGTTCCATCGCCGTTGCCTTACACCCTGTGACTTCTTATTTTTGTTCTGACCCACGAAACCACCTCTGGAATTCTTCAATCACAACAGCCAAACAGTCTTTGTTGACGAAAACTCATACTTGGTCGGCAAAATCGAAGAGAAACATTCAAAAATCGAAACCTACAACATTCAGTTGACTGCCAAATTGAGCGATTTATACTAGGGCTGCACACAGGTATGGTTCTAGGCGGAACCGAACCGTTTTTGACGATTCTTGAGAGTCGGAACCAGAACTGTACCGTTAACACATGGTACCAAACCAAACCGAACCATGAAAGATTGGTTCGATACCGGTTCCAACACGGTTCAGTTCTTAAAACAGAAATTAAAAAAAAAAATAAAAAAAATAAAAAAAAGGAAAGAAAGAGACGGAGTAATCTCCGGCGCCAATCCGGGAAGTGAAAAGATCTTTACTACTTAGGAGAGGGATCGAGTAAAGATTCTCCATCGGTTAAAAGATAGATTATTGACTGAGTGACAGAGGCTGACTATGAACGACGATTGCTCTCGTTGACGACAAAGGGCGATGACGGTAAGGAGGCCTGTGAGAATGACCTGGGAGTGGGAGGCCAAGGCTGTTGACGATAAGACTCATTAGAGAGAATCTTTGGGGATTTCGTGCAGTGGACGATTTCTGACAGAATCCTTAACGCGCTTCCCTTTTGATCTGGGTATTGTTCCTCTTTCTTTTGTTTCCCTGTCTTTTGTACTTAGTTTCCTGGTGGTTGCCATGGTCAAGATAATTTGTTTTCTTTTCGTTTCCTCTTTCCTTGGGTGTAACGGCTTGTGGTTGGTGACTGTGTTTTTCGGTCATCGGTTTCATTGGCGGTGCTGTTTTGGGGCGGTGGTTGTTTATGTGGCTGAAGCTTCGTTGCCGCTGTCTACGCCGTGCCCGTCTTGGGGTTGTTGGTGTTGCTTAGCTCTTCTTCCCCATTTTTTAGGCACATCTAGAAGCCAAAGCTCATCCTTCTTGTGTCGGCGATGTTTCTACGTCCTCCGTTCTGGCGTTTACCGGCCTTTTTTCTGTTTGCTCTTGGCCATGGTGCTTTCACTTTTGGTAGCCATTTGGATAATTCCTTCAAGGAAACACGGGCTCCTCAATTGATTTCTTATGGCCAAGCCTTTATTTGTCAAATCCCTTTGCGGGATATATCTTCCTCGTTGCCGTCTTGGTCGTCGGGGACGGAGTTTCGGTTTCCCGGTGTCCTCAGATTATGGTGTTTTCCGGTGATGATGGATTCATCTTGCGTCATGCTGACGTTGGAACACAAATCATCTACTGTGCGATTCCCATGCTGTTTCCTACAGTGAACAGTAAGTGGCCTTGGTTTGGCCACGTTTTACTCCACTTAATAGACACTAAGACTTTGTTTGGCAATTGCACCACTATTTATAAGTAACATTTCACCACCATTTACAAGTAACATCACAGAAGTCTAAAAGTAATATCACATAGTTTAAAAAGTAACATCACCACTATTTATAAATATCTTCACCCTCAAAACGTGGTGATGTTACTTTTTAGACTATGTGGTATTATTTTTAGACTTCTGTGATGTTATTTATAAATGGTGGTGAAATGTAAAAATAGTCTAAAAAGTAACATCACCACTATTTATAAATTTCAGAATCTGGGAATTGTATATTGTCATTATTCTTTCTGTTAAAACAAGTACTACTCCTTTATTGAATTATTGTAGTTAATGCCTCTAAAAAAAATTGTATTTTGCCTCTAAAAAAAATTGTATCTTTTGAAAATGCAAGCACTACAAGTAATTAATTTCACAATTTGTTGAATATATGTTTAATTTGATTAATTTATTTGTGGAAATGCTAAATATTATTCTAACCCTTGTTGATTTCTTAATTTTATTTGAATTTTCTTAGTTGAGTGCTCAAAATAATGCCCAGTGTTAAAATTGCACAATTAGATCGATTTTTTCAATTGAGTGTTTAAAATTTAGGCCAAAACTTGAATTTGCTAAATTGGGTGTTACATATTTAGATGTATATATATTTTTACATTTCACCACCATTTATAAGTAACATCACAAAAGTCTAAAAGTACTATCACATAATCTAAAAAGTAACATCACCACGTTTTGAAGGTGAAGATACTTATAAATAGTGGTGATGTTACTTTTTAGACTATGTGATATTACTTTTAAACTTCTGTGATGTTACTTATAAATGGTGGTGAAATATTACTTATAAATAGTGGTGCAATTGCCAAACCCAGTCTTAGTGTCTATTAAGTGGAGTAAAACGTAGCCAAACCAATGCCACTTATCGTTCACTGTAGGAAACAACATGGGAATCACACAGCAGGTGATTTGCACCCGCTGACGTTGTTTCTTGGGCGTATGGACCACGCTGGTGCAAAGATGCTTCTAGGAGAAGCTTCTTTTTCTAGAAGGCTGGGCCCCCAACACATAAGGTTAGAAATATGGCTACGTGTCTGTGATGTTGCCGTCCAGCAAAGCTGTTACCGTCCGCTTCTGAAACTTACTTCCTTATTTGGGTGGCTGTTGTTGCAGTATGGGAATTATTACAATGGGTCCCATGATTTATTCCTATGGTGGTTTGCTTTGTCAGGTGTCTTTTGTGTGTTTGATCATCTTTGTAAATTCAATAGGGCTAGTCTTTGTAAGTTTGTGGTTATGGGTTTTGTTGTTTTTGTTGTGGTGTTGTGGCTTGTTAGTGGTTTGTTTTGGTTGTGTTTGTGGTCTTGTTTCTTATAGATGTCATTGGGTTTCTGTTGCAAGCCCAAAAAAAAAAAAAAAAAAAAAATTATACTTTAGAGAGAGAATTTATTTTCCCTAGATGTGTTGTAATATAATAATAATATAATATAAAGCATGTATCTTTGACTCTTTGTGTAATGTCATGCATGTAATATAATATAATATATATATATATATATAACTATAAATATGGACAAAAGTACTCGAGTACTCTTCACTGGTCTCATTTTTGTTTGGACATTGTTATTTTAATACACTTATATATATATATATAATTTGTTAATACAATAATTCGGTTCCGTTCTGAATGACTTGGAACCGGAACCGAACCGTAATATAACGGTTCTTTAATTTCCAAACTGGAACTAGAATCGAATCGCGAGAAACCAGAACCGAAGCAGCTGTTTGGTTCGGTTCGGTTCGGTTCTCCGATTACACGGTTTTTTTTTGCACCCCTAATTTATACGACCTTCTTCACTACACGAGAGAGTAAATTCGAAAGGAGTGTAGACCTGTACAAAGCCTGTTTATCTCGAGCTGTAAATTAGAGATTATATTCTGCTTCCCAATCATGTGTACGAAGTAGGTTAGGATGTGATTTTGGTGGACGAGCAAAGTGGGAATTTTCCTACGACGCCGGGTGGATGGCCTTGATATGCATTGTCGGTGTACTGGCGAGAAGCAAAGGAGGAAGCGGCAGAGGAAACACCCATATGTTTGTGCAAGATGTGAATAGGGAGGTGGAGAGATTGCTTCGTCTTTGTGTGTGTTGGTTGTGATATGAGGCTGTGGGGGCTGTGTTTGGGAAGAAGAGGTATAATGACTGATCATAGCCCTATTTGTGCTTAATTACCAAAAACGACACCGTTTACAATTTTGTCTACTATTTTTGTTTCATTACCCAAAACAACGCCGTTTAGAATTGTGTTTATTTAGGTCATTTCAACTTCTAGCAAAATTTTATTATTATTGTATAAAGAATATTGGGGGGGATTTTCGTATATTTACCTATCCCTATGACAAAAAGTCCTTATTTGCACAATTTTGAAACTACATGGGTAGTTTTTGAACGACAAGGGTATTATTTGCACACTTTTGAAAATTCAGGGGGGTTTTTTTGCACTTGACCATATGTTATGCTTGGAAGGAAGTTATTGGTGCTTTAAATTTGGAATTAAAAGAAGTTTAATTTAAAATTTGTATTGAAATTTCTTCAATTTCAAATTAAAGGCAATGTAGTTTTGGGGAATGATAGTTGTAACAATCTTCATCATATCCCGACACAATATTATCTAATTTTGACTCCCCGGATTAGAGACTTCCCAGGGGTCACACATCCTGATACTACTTCAGGTTAAACACGCTTAACTCCGGAATTCTAGTAAGTTTTCGGGCATCACAATTTTAAAACGCATTGTGTTATAAAATGCATATTGCCCCGTAGCCTGCCAGTGTTTGTCGAAGTCACAATAGTACTCCTAGGTAAATTTGAATACTCTATCATAAAATGAAAGGCCAATTATGAAATTTTCATAGTTTAGAATGCAAATTTAGAGTAAAAGCATTTTCATATTAGACTTATTTTTGACTAAATTGTGCTTATTTTTATATATAAATTCATAAAATCTTGTATTACTTTAATTTTTTCTCTTATTCTCAGTTGAGAAGAATTTATTTTGAAGTTTTTTTTTTACAAGCCAAGAAGTATTAAAAGTTAAATTAGTAAATGCAAAGAATCGAAGTCTGACATTACAAAATTCACCCAAGATACTTACCCACTGAGCTACGGAGGTATCTACCATTTTGAAGAAATTAAGATAACAAAAGTATTAAAAGAGATGCGGAAATTATTATTTTTCTCTTTTATTTTGGCTTGTTTTATTGATGTCGTAAATTTATATACTGTCACACATCTTACAAGATTTTTATTCTTTTATCTTTTTGTGCTGACAATTAAATAACACACCTGTTAAAAAATATATATTTAAATAACTCAAATACTCATATTGATTTTGTCCTTTAGAATACTTAACCCTGGACCTTTCATGTATTTAATTAGAAAGCATATATGCCCAGTCTAACGCGGGGCCACTCATAACATTTTCCCCTTAGCCTGACACTGGATTATGATCATGAATTTGACTCTGATACTAATTATAACGAGTTGAATATTTTGTAATTCAATTCAAAAATTTAATCAATTAAATGAGATTAACACCTAATTCATATACACTAATTTTACTTTTCATTCTGATCGGAAGTGTGACACCGGTGACAACAATCAACTAGTCATCTTGACAGTGAGTTCCACCATCCTGTTCATAGTTGCAGGGTCCGTTAGTTTTTGAACTATGTTAACTCCATTTGTTTGGTCAATTTGTTTTCATAGTTATTGGGCCTACAAATGTTAGCCCAAACCATCCATAAAGCGTGCTTTATCCCCAACTTACATTCAACAAGACATTTGCAATTATTGTGACCACCTCGTTCTTCTTATTTGCACAAATCAGATTTGTAAAAGTTAGAAGACATTTTAAGTGCCTTTATTTGAAAGTTTATGCTTATTTTCTTCACAAGACACCCCTATTTTTATTTCTTTTCTTTTCTTTTCTTGATGTATACTTACATAATAGCTTTGACCATTATTATCATTCATTTTCAAACTATATTATGACATGAAATTAAGTATATTGTTGGTAAAACACACTTAACAATATAAAGAATGTTTGGTGGGATTTAAATTCAGACATTTATAGGCTACCCAGAATTGATGTATAACTTTACTCGGTACTATTAGTGGGTTTTGTTGGTTGAGAGAGTGTACCAGAAGCAAATTTTTGTTTATTTATTTGACAATTTCTTTTTTATTTTATTTAACGTAATTTCCGAAAATTTCCATAGAGATAGCTCTACAAAAATTTGAATTTTTAATTTTTAAGATGTGATGTGAGAATCTTGCAGTTAAACTATTACTTTAAATTATTTGACAGTTATTAACAAACTGAATGTATATAAATTTTATACCTAAGAAAAATTATACTCCAATTTAGTTGGTGTCCTGTGGCCATTAATGATTCTTAGATGAACTCATTAGTGAATTTTATCACATTATAGTGATGATGGTCACTGTAACAACTGTCTTTAGGTTTGGTGACTAAATTATAATTTTCACCAGCTCGTGTTAGCCTGAAATAAGTTTTGATTGATTATTCATAAACTACATAGTTGGATTGGTGGAAGTCTAAAGGATAGTTTAGTGATAAAAATTCTCACCTCATATCTAAGAAGTCGAATCTCTTTAGAATCACCTTCAATAATTTTTTTGAATACTTGGATGATGGGACGAGAAGATTGCATAATTATACATGCCAAGGTTGGATTATGAAGTACTCTACTAGACCTAACACCATCATTGATGAGGATGATAATGAACAACTAATTATTTGAAATTCAATACAAATCAGCTCCGAGATGAAGTTAAGTATTAACAGAAGTCCAATATCACATTTAGTATCCGAATTTGGAACAGCAGAAAGATAGAGGGAGTGTGGGTCACACCTCCCTCTCTCTTTTCAGTTACTACGTATTTGGAGTGTGGATAGCAAATAATTTACTAGTTTAGTAATTTTCGTATACTAAAATATATATGCATTGGATTAAGACGAGCACAAGATATGGATCCCTTCTGTATCTTCAAAGGATCCAAATCTTTTGTTAATTCTATTGAGGTGTAAAGTACAAAGGATTTAGAGATTCGACTTTTAAAGAATCTGAAGGGCTTATTTTAATATTACTATATATATATATATACAGTATATATCTGACTGATCATAACCCCTCATGAGTCATGACTCATTAATTTCATTTCATATACCAACATGTTTAGTTTGAGAAATAAGATCTTGGTCCGCAATTTTCTATCTTTTTAAATTGTATTTAATACACTGTATGAACTATCACGGGATAAGAGCATCTACCTCAAAAAGTTGTAGCACCATCCTATATTATCCATACACGATACAATTATATAAATATACACACATACCCGTCATTAATACACCAAACATCCACTCAAATGCGACCCACTTGAAGGGAAAAAAAAATCTCAATAAATTGAATCAAGTGATATGATGTACCAAATGAGTAATAGTCTAACTGGTACAAACTTGGTGATCAAAGATTCGAATTTAAATTGTGTGAATTTATTTTATCATTGAAAAAAAAAAAAAAAAAAAAAGTGATATGACACCCAATATCTACTCAACTCCTATTCCTTCATCTTGATTAGGGTATTCATGTTGTAGATATATTTTGAGATTTTCGATTAGAAAAGCAAGAGAGAAAAATTTTGAAATTGGATTTTTTATTTTTAAATTTTTTGGTAGAATTGCTTGTTACTTCGTTTCCCTTATTTGAAGGTAGTATAAAGATCCACAATTTCTTATGTGAGTCTCTTGCCATTTGTTTGAATTGGCTTTGACCGTTTGAATATGTCTCTCTACTCTATTGTGGTCCCTTTTTTTATTTTATTTTGGGGGAGCCCTAGAAGGATTGGTGTTATAAAGGGGAGAATTCAGTGAATGTTCAAAGGTTTTGCAATGCTGACATGTTTGTAGCTTTAATTTCAAGGAACTTTTACCCTCAATTTCAATCCCTATAGTTGCACCAACAATATAATTTAGAGTTTATGAATCTTTTTTGTACAATATTATTGGAGGAGAATGTGTCAGCTTTGTGTCATTTTTAATTAAAAATTTGTTTATGTGTTGTTTTGTTATTGCCAGAGATCAATAGTTCTCCAATAACCTATTATTTAGTCTAAGAGTTGTGATACTTAATTAGGCCATGCAATTCTGTTAGAATGGTAGACCTAAGTATCATTTAAGTCTAATTAGATGCAATAATTACAATACAAAAGTGCCACAATATATATATATATATATATATATATATATATATAAAGCTTGTCTAATTCTGTTTAATCCAAAGAAGTATCAAACATTTATTATAAAAGAGAGTAGTAGTGTTTCTCATTATATATACATTTGTAAAAGAACATTTCAAAAGTCACATGAAATATTCAATAATCCAATAAAGGCCAAAATGCTCCCACCACCAACCCTAGAGCTTCTTAGTGCATGCATGCATGCTTTGCAAAACCTTGTGCCTAAAAGGCATCCAAAGCTGCAGCTAATGCAAAAATCTCATAATCTGCACAACGGCACCCACCAGCCATGCATCCACACTCGTCCCACTTTGTCAATCTCCCATTTTTCCTCCTCGGCACCGTCTCTATCGTTGCCGGAACTCGAACCTTCATCCATACTTGCAGTGCAGGAGGTTTGACATCTTCATGCACGCGTCTACTCATGGGAACCAAGCTAAACCATTGCTCTATCTCCATCTCCGGGGATTCGAAAACAGTTTTCCATGGAATCTCACCTCTACCCAAGAGACGTGACCCGCCAAGTTTCCCCAGAACTGGTACAGTGCTTCTCCATCGGAGCTCGAGAACGACGCTTCCTTGCACGAGCATGTCCATGGAGTCTTTGGTGCCTGCACACTCCAATGAGAACGACTCGTCCCAAAATAGGTCTGATTTTGATGAGATTTCTTGGCTGTTAATTCGAACTCTCTTGTTGTTTCCTGCAGAGAGATAGCACCTAACAAACAAGTGTCCCGTGGACTTGACAAACTCCATATTTTTGGCTCTTATGATTCTCAATTCACAGCTGAGAGAGGAAAGATATTGAAGTGCATCCATGGAGAGAAAAAGAGAGAGAGAGGGGTTTATTTTTGGTGAGAAGAGGAGAGAAAGAGAGAGAGGTTTATATTTGGTGAGGAGAGGAAAGAGAGATGATTTATTATTTGGTGAAGGGAGGCATCGGGGTTGGGGCAATATATATAGTAATTTGATCAAGTAAGGACAAATGGAGGGAAGGTGGTATAATTTTTTGGGGAAGTTGCTCCAAAAATAATCAGAGAAAATCACCCACCAAGATCTTAGATACAATATAATATTGAACATATATATACAAACACACACACACACACACACACTTCACATTGGAATGAGCACGAAGTGAATAGTGTGATATCAAGACAGAGATTATTGTATTTAGTTAAGATAAGCCCTTCCCCAGAATAGTGTGATACCAAGACACAGATTATTATATTTATTTAAGATAAGCCCTTTCCCATATTTTCAGTGGCTAATATATGTTCTCTAAATGGACCTTTGTAGTAGGGTTAATTGAATTCCATTTCTTTTGCCATCCATATTGATATATTTCTATGACTGTACATTCCATTATAATTAGAAAATAGCATTCCTCATAAGGTTGATCATTTAACTTGTTGATCGACCATTGGAAGTCAAAATATTCTGGTGGTATCCTGCCCAATTGATAGCATATCTAGTGCTTGCTTTCCTATTTGACACGTGCTTTAGCTGATATATATATATATATATATATATATATATATATATATATATATATTATATACAGTAGTTAATAAGGACAGTCTCATGCAAGTTTCTCTTTTCTTTTTTAGGTCCGTTCATGTACAAGTATCGGGTCAAAATTGGGAATTTTTTAGGATACAAGATGTTTTATAGGGATAGTTGGAAACTGACTCGATAAAACAATATTTAATTAGGTTAAAATTAAAGTGAGTTTCACTAAACTTTTTGAGGAGGGTTCTCGTTGAAATGCGTTTTTCCATGTCAAAAATTGTTTTTGGGTGAACGAAAAATTGAACCCAAAATAATTCATTTGATCATGGATAAAAATGAGTTATTTTGCTTTGGCTTGGTTGGGCTTGTTGGGCATAGGCCTGATCCAAATCTTTCAAAACCCGAACCGATGATGCATGGATAATTAATATGCTGGTTCGGATAAGACATGATAGTTTGGGTTGGTGGTTCACCAGGATCAAATAAATTCAATTGAAAAGTTACACCCATTGGCTGAAGTGGTGCAAATGATAACTGTTCAACTAAACAACAGTAGTGTACCCATTGGCAAAGTGGTGCAACTGATGACTGTTGGGAGTTAAATAGACCCGAACTGGTACCATACCCATTTCGGATCAACACCATTTTCTCTATAACTAGCCCTTTAGGCCTTTCTTTCATTTGCAATTCGCACTTTACTCTCAACTTTCTTTATTTTTCTCGTCTATAAGCTCTTTGAGTGGTTGTCCATGTCCAAGTCTGACGGTTCATTTTTGACTGTGAGTCTAAGGGTTCATTTTGAGGCCGAGTCTAAGGGTTTGAGAGAGTATAAAACAAACTTTGGTTCATTTCCTTTAATTTGAAGTGTTGCTACTAATGAAAGAAATATCATTACACTATGGTTGACAAACTCATATTGGCAAATTTCGATCTACATGTTCTTATATATTATTTATGTTATAATTTTGCATATTGGTATAAATCTTGTATAGTCTTAGATAATAACATATGCATAAACATATTATTTACCCACAAATAAAATTAGAGATAACTTGATCTACGTAATCAAAGTGATACTTTTTTCTCTTTCAAAAAAAAATATATATATATGGTTAAAGTGTGTGAGTTTTATAGTAAGATTAAGTTATGTTTCAAATCAAGCTATATATATTATATACAAGTTCTTTAAACTATTACTCCGTGGGTGTTTTCTTTTTATCTAATTTAGAACAACTCCTCCTACATTGGATCTTTTGCTATCAAAATTTTCAACAGTCCGCTAAGCACCACATGGACAATATAATATTGTGAATGTGTGTGAGGGAAGAAAAAAACAAAGGTATGTTGCTTATGTCATACTACGTACTATGAACTACAGTATGTAATAGCAACGTCAGTGATGACTTAAGAGACGATTAGAAAATGGAGTTGAGGCTCAAATCGTATCACCCATCAAAAGAAATTGGGCATGATAATTGATAGTGACGACATTGGAAGGAATGTTTAGATCATCATCCCTTGTCATTTTGTGAAACACCCGGGTTAACTTAATTGGGAATGAGTCGGCAAATAATTAACAATTGAAAAGGTTGACAAGGGATTGGATCCTTTGGAGACCATGAAGAGATGCCACTTTCTTCATACACATATAGGTTGCGTGTGTGAGAGAGAGAGGGGTGAGAACAATGATGGTTAATCTCCTAATTAAGTATCAACTTGATCTGCTGACACGTATGAATTCCACTTGGGTTATATATATATATATATAGATAGTTGCGTCATGAAACCTCAGCATCCCATGTAGAGAGGAATATCTTTAATTCTGTCTAATATCATCTGTACTTATTTTTATTTTTTATTTTAATTTCATCCAGTTGAAATTAAAATAAGGTGTAAAACGTTTCAAGAAGTGTGTTTCCAACTCAAAATTGTACTAATCAGCCAATACATATGTTTCCTTTTCCTTTTCAAAGTTCACCAAAGCATAGGCTACTGGGATAATGGGAAGGGATGACAAATTCTCCATTTTACTGGGTCTTCGGACCGCCCCGCCCCGCCTTGTTTATAACAAAAATTGGGATCTTTTTATGTAAACAAGAATAGGAATGGGAGTAAATTTTGAAAACCCACCGCAGGGCGGAGATGGGGTACGGCAGGGATGGGTATCCCATTCCCGTTCCGCCTCGATTAAGTGTTAAATTACTAATATACCTTTACATTTAATAATTTATTACTAAATTGATTTAATATATATATGAAAATAAGAAAAATTATGTTTTTTTTTTAAAAAAATTAATATATGTTAATCGGGGTTGGGACTGGGGATGGGGCGGGGACGAGGATAAGGGGTCGGGGGTGAGGGCGGGTATGGGGATTGAAAAATTTAATAGAGATGGAAATGGAAAATGAGATCCCCGCCAATCCCGTTGCCATCCCTAATAGTGGGTTTCATGGTTATATTGCTTTCTATCTCCCTCGGGCCCACCTTTTTCTATAAGGCTCCGTTTGGTTAGATGGAAATAAGTAAGAAAAGAGAAGAAATAGAAAGTGAAAGAAAAGTGAAGTGAATGAAAAAAAAAAAAGATTTTCTAGTTTGCATTTGGTTAGTATGAAAATTTATCCAAGAAAATTGTAGAAAAATAATAGTTTGTTCATTTGGATAGCATGAAAATAAAAAAAAAGTGATTATGCATACTAAAACTACCCTTAAGTAAAATGATGAATTATTAAATTCAAATATATAATTGTTTATATTCATTTTTATTATTTATATTTAGAATAAGGCTCCATAATATTTTCTAGGTAAAACTAATTATTAGTTTAAGATAAACAAATTAAAAAAAAAAAAATTAGAGACGAAGAGGCAATATTACTCTTTGGGAGAAAAATTAAATATTTCACCATATATATATATATATATATATATATATATATATATATATATATATCAATACCGGATTATGAATAGCTAGAATTGCAACATAAAACAGAGGATTAAAAATATAAAAAATTCTATCTAGAAGCAAGATTTATTTTATCATGAATTTGGTTAGTATTAAAGTGGTTAGTATTAAAATCTTTCGAGAAAGTTACGATAAAATATGATTTTGTCAATTTGGGTAGGATGAAAGTAAAAATAAAATTATTCTATTTATCAAAATTACTTTTACATCAGTTAAAATTTACAAAAAAATAAATATTGTGCAATAGATGATAAAAAAAATAATAATAATAAAAAATAATAAAATTATAATAAAATAAGGCAACTAATTTTTAAAAGTTGGATTACACATAATTAGAGAGCATGCTCAACTAAATATTAATATATTTTTTCTTTTATTTTTTAACCTTCGAATTAGATACGTGGATTACATTAAAAAGACGCACTTATCCTATTTTATTGAAAGAAAGAAAAATATTGCTTCATAAAAATAGTCGTTGAAAACTTACAAAGTCACAAGAGATGAGTTACCAAACAACAAATATAAACAAGTTAGTTGGATAAAATAGAAAAGTCAAATAAAAAGGGACTCCTTTCAGGCGAAAATTTTGTGCGTGAAAATTTTTGGAGACAAATAGACAGATGTGGGAAATCAGATTTTCTCTTTCTTTTCTTTTTCCTTTTGTCCAAACTCCAAAAAAGTTTAAAAATTTTCTCTTTGGTTTCTTTTCTAGTTGATTCCGCCTAACCAAACGAAGCCTAAAGTTACTACCTTTCAACTCTCCACTCCATTTCTTCTTTTAGGTGCTACAACCGCACTGTTTTCCATCCTATAAATAATTAAAGCATTTAAAGAAGAAATACGTATTTATTTATTTATTATTATTTTTTGGTTCGGAAACAAAGGGAACTTAATTGGGTCCATGGAAGAGAGTACATCATAGAAACCAAAGGTTCCCAGCATCTTGGTTTACTGTATACCCTGGTAATGCCTTCATCTTTGACAACTTAAATACATAAAAAGCATTGAAAGCCAACTTTGCAATTCAGTGAAACTGAAACATCATAGTGACAAATGTACTAGCATTGAAACATCAAATGGTGAATCACAATCCTCCATAATTATTGCAGATATCCCATGAACACAGGCATGTGAAAAAAAACCAGTCAATTTGCATTAACAATACAACATATAAAAGGAAAAACAATCAAATATGGATATTATATGCTTCAATCAGAAAACCCTCAAGGGTTTATATACACAAGCCTTCTGAATAACTCAAAAAGAAAAAAGAAAAAAGAAAGAAAAGAAGAAGGAAAATTACACACTCTAGACTCGGTATCTTTGTTCTTTCCAGAGTTGGATTTTAAGTTGAAAAATAGGGGGACAAAATGAGATATCTATATCACAGGTTTTACATCTAAAGACAAAGACCAAAGGACTTGTTTCCTCTTCCAACATGCTTACAATGAGCAACCTAAAGAGGCTAAAATAGGTGCATAACCCACACAGCTGTGTCATTCACAATTCAAATTCCACAACGGTAAATACTTGCATATTAGATGACCCTGATCATCCAAGACTTATGGTTCATCTTCCGTTAGCTGCATATTGTATCCATGCTTCATGTCTGTATCAGTTCAAGGCATCCAGAATAATGTTAGTAAAGACCACAAGGAACTGTATATACAGTAATACATTATGCCGAAATACAAAAATAAAAGAAGACAGAAACTTAAGAAGAATAAATACCACTAATTGGAATTTGAACACATAAGACAAGTAACTGACAATCTACATCAGCTAAAAATTGCAATTTACACTTCAACCTGTCGACATGGTGGACTAATCACGCATGGCAAGATGAAATCATTCGAAATTTTAAAGACATAGTGAAATAATCATAAAGCATTATTGCCTTGCTCAAATAGTACCAAGTTCAAACCTAATTAAAGGAAACCGAACCAACCTCCAACGGTATCTTTAATTATTTAAAAGTGCCTACTTCGAGATATAGAAGTAAGAATATGTGCAACAATCTGGTGATCTTCTGTGTCTGCTCTTGTAAATTTGTTGCTGTGAAGTTGAATTGTATGTGGCGTTGTTACATATAGTTACCATCCCATTGGCAATAAAATTGGCACTTTCTGCAATACTACAGTCCCATTCCCTCCTGGAGACAGGACACATCTAGCTCATAGTTCTCTTGTTTTCTCACCATTAGATAAACCTGTGGTAATTAAGAATGAGACTCATGTGGTTTACTGATAGACAATATCTGTCTTCCGCATCATGACAGTAAGAACAATATATGCATATGATATGGTTCTCTGGGAGACTTACTCAAAAGTGATATTGTTCTGGGTGTAAAGCTGCAACAATTACAAGAGCAAAACATCTTAGCTTTACTCCAAATATAAAGCTGCCCTACCTCCAATTTAAACAAGCATAATACATTCAAATGCATTCAATGGCCAGCTTTGTTGTAGTTTCTAATAATTGCAAATCAGAATACGAACTATGCTTACAGAGACAAGAAAAATTGCAGTAAAAATGCAGCAAAAGATAGTGGAGTGGAAACGAAGACATAGCACTTAATATCAAGAACATATAAATACAAAGACAGATTTTATATGTTTCTCCCTGCAAGAGCTCTTACAAGTCAGGATCTAACAACTCATTATAGGATATGAATTTTTTTGTTTCATCTTTAGAAAAACACACCACCAAGTTTCATGGAGTAATAAGCTAAAATCAAGTACTGCAACATCTTTAGGACAAGATCTAGATGAAACAAATGCATTGCCGTTCAAGTGTTTCGGCCACAGCACATAATTGGCAACTGATATTTTACTGAAGGGGACCCCGGTAAGAAAGAGGCAATGGATTTATTGCTACATCCTAATAAGTACCAGTGTAGCAAAGAAAATATTTAACAAGAAAAGGACTTTCTGAGCTTTTCAGCAGATTTACTCTATTCTTGAATCTAAATATCCTGCATCGAGCATAATAACATTGCAAAGAATTGTTCAATGAATAAAAAGGAAGTCCTATAAAATTTCGGCACCCATTCCTTCAAATGTCAAAAGTCCCAAAATGGTTGCCGGAGTAGAGAGTACATATTGGTTTGAATGGCCAATCTTCCTTGTATAGATAATTCTCAAAAAGCATATATTCCTGAAAGATCAACTTTTTTGTTCCAAGAGTGCTACAAGGCCCAACTCCAAAATAGAAGCAGCGTACACAATTACAAGCCAGCACCTCGTATTAAAATTCAGGGCTAGGGCATATTAAGAAATAAAATTTCCTTGGGGTGTCACTTCGATATTTCTCAAATGAATGTCCTTATGCCTTAACATAATATTATAAGGAATTCTCATTTTGGGGGACCATAGCCTCCGTGGCACTATATGTAGCCCCACGCCTGATTATTGATTTTAGTTCTCACAGTTGGGTTACATACAACTTGTCAGTTGTCACCCACCCCAATGAACAATCTTATAAGGAATTCTCATTTTGGGAGACCATAGCCTCCCTGGCACCATATGTAGCCCCACGCCTGATTATTGATTTTAGTTCTCACAGTTGGTTACATACAACTTGTCAGTTGTCACCCACCCCCATGAACAATCTGTACACTGGAAACGGAGTGTGTGTATTCCTAGGCGTTTTGTTTGATGTGTCTGTGTGTGTTACTAGACATTTTGTCTGATGTACAAAGTGATGCTACTCTTGATACTGCAAGAAAATAAAGTGATTCACCATTTATGGTAGAGCATTCTTATGGTAAAATTGCTGTGTGCTCGTAAAATTGAGTTTGAATAGGCAAAACAATGTAATGGCTCAAACAGAGTAACTAGCATTCAACAAGATTTTACTCTACGCATATTTATATATGTTGTGAATTTTTATTTGATAGATGTATATTAATCAGACTAAAGATTAAATCAGACAATCAAAGTACCTTTTGTGGAAGATGGTTTATTGTACTTGTCTTTCCTTTCATCCTCATTCGTCCATTCACAATCATCATCACCAATTTCATCCCTTTCATTATTTCCTATATCACTTTCACTTGCTGTCTCCCATTCAGAATCATCAGTCTCTTGGCCGTAAATGCCACCAGCATCACCCTCACAGTGGACACCCCCATGTTTAATAGCCGCTTCTCTGAATAACCAAGCTGCACGCATCTGCTTCTTGACTAAACGTTCAGCATAATCAGGAACCTTATTTTGCCTCAAGGAGAGATCAGGATCGGTTGACTGAGAGCACTCGTTTATGAAAAGAATAGCATCTAATAAGCTCTCTTTAGCTAACCCAAGCATGTCATAAGCCTGAGCTCTTCTCCAAAGGCTTTTGGCATGACGGTTAACGGGGTTATGAAGACAAAGTGCGCGCGTAGCATCACTTATGGCCTCCAAGGGTTGTTGCAACAAAAGATGACACTGAGCTCGATTACTGAACAGCACTACCCTCTCTTTCCTTGATCGCACTGGACACAATGCCAATGCTTCTGAGTACTTTGATGCTGCACCAGATATATTTCCTGATGAGAACAGTGAATTTCCTTCAAGTTTTACCACTAGTGCTGCTGCCTGTTTGATATGGAGATCCTCTTTCGGCATATTCTTTTCCCATTTTAATCTCTGTCGAGAATTTATTATTTCCTCAATCTGTTCTTTAGTGTGATTGCTAAGTGAGTTACGTCCTATCCCTTGTGATTGGATACATTCCTGAAGAACATTCACAATGGAATCCCCAAGCCTTTTGTGATCTCCAAGAGCCGAGATTTCAGCAAGATCCACAATTGCAGGTACTGCCTTATCAATCACCTACACAACAAAGTTTGATTATGAGTTCAAGAATACATATCATGACAAAAAGGAGAAAACACCGTTGACTTATAAAGATGGACAAAAGTTCATGTTTCAGCCACAACTGGTTAGTATGTTAGATATAAGGACATGTCATATGTCTATATATCTAGACATGTCCTTGTAATTCGATATATGAGACGTGATAATATATTAATCTATCTCTCTCCTTTTTTTTCTTTTTTCTTTTTTTGTGCCTGTGTGTGTGATATAATAACAGATGTATAATTTAGAAAGAATTCAATTGGAAGATGCTAAAAATCATGACATATCATGACAAAAAGTTTGATTATGAGTTCAAGAATACATATCATGACAAAAAGGAGAAAACACCGTTGACTTATAAAGATGGACAAAAGTTCATGTTTCAGCCACAACTGGTTAGTATGTTACACACAGCAACTTCCCAAAATCTAGATAGAAGGACAGGTCATATGTCTATATATCTAGACATGTCCTTGTAATTCGATATATGAGACGTGATAATATATTAATCTATCTCTCTCCTTTTTTTTCTTTTTTCTTTTTTTGTGCCTGTGTGTGTGATATAATAACAGATGTATAATTTAGAAAGAATTCAATTGGAAGATGCTAAAAATCTTGGCACTTGCTCAAGGTGGAGTGAACTATTTCCCGCTCTGCTCAGAATCAGATAGATGGCTATAGGCCAGAATTGAATTCCCAGCAGTTACAAAAACACTTCATGTTTTTCTAGTACCAATATACCATGTTACAGCAGAATGCATTTGTTTCCACCAACAAAAATTTGGGTTTTAACAGGTATGACATGATTAAGGCTCCATAGATAATAATGAGAGGGACAAAAATGAGAGATAGTAAACTCATTACATGAGTCAGACAAAATATATCCAAGGTGAGTGTCCATAAATCCTTTCTAAAAAATTTATGAGGGACACCATCCTCACTTTCTGATTAACATTGGGCCACAAATACAAATTTCTGGTGCACGTTATTACCAAGATTAGAATAGTCAAATTTTGTCATGAAACATATTTAAAGGTACAGCAGTTGTGCATATCTACCTCCAAAATACTGTACTATAGTAACATAAAAGGAAAGAATTTTCTTGGAGGTGCATGTTAGCATCTGCAAAACCAAAGCATCAAACAAGTACCTTATTGACTTTGTGGCTTCTACTGAGTCATAATACATACATACATACATACATACATACATATATATATATATATATAGATATATATTCTCTTTCTTTCTTTTTTTCTCTTTGTGGAATCAGATCTTCTGTCTTAAAGAAACCAAAAACTATGTAATCAACATCTATACATATATATGAAAAAGTATAGTATTGTCTCAATAATTTGTGAAGTTTGATATTGTAGCATAAAAAAAAATAAAAATTAATAATAATAATAATAATAAATAAAAAGACTCCTCATGCCATAGATAGGCTCAAACAGGTATATTGGCTAACAAGAGATGTAACTTTATGTCATGAAAGCAAACAGGTAATGTTGATTTTTGATAATTAGAATCGAGTTATGCTTCACATGTCCTTTTATGACATCGACTCAATCACTAATTTGTCAGACTCAGCTCAACTCTTTCCAGGTTCAGAGGAAGCTAAATGTCAACAGTTTATATTTGGACTAGATAATGGTAACCACTGTAGTAAAGTGATCACAAAGCTTAGTAATCAAATGTTTATAGATTCAAAAGTTATCAGAAAAAAGAAAAATGATAGAATTGAACAATCTTCAATAAACAATCAAAATACCTATTCACCATCAAAACGCAGCAAAACCAATTTCCATGTAATTAATTTCCAAAAATTTAGAACACATTTCTGACAGGGCCTAGGCAGCAGAGATCTGAAAAAGCATTACCTTATGACAAGTACTTGGATCTTGGAGCAACCAAAGAAGACAGTCAATAGCCATATACTGCCAGTCGTCTGATGAGCGCGCGACATTACACAATGCTTCAATAATACCAGGACAGCTAGCCACAGGTCCCCTACCATGTCTATGATGACAAATTGTCCGTAGTAAACCAATACCAGCTGGTGAGTTTTCATTGACAAGTCCGCCCCACATGCCTGGTAGTTTTATTAAAAATTCTGGTTTGCAAATAATAGAAAGAAACTCGGTTTTAAATGCAAAGCAATTAATAAGTTGAAGGGACCAGCACTGCAATTGACTCGCCCATTCCTCTGCCTTCCTGGACTCCATTTCAACACCACCCATGCCACGTGTTAGTAGGTCACAATGATAACTTAGCCTTCTGTCAACATACTGATAAAAATGAGAGTAAACAATTTCAAGCGAACTCATCGCTAGTTGAATGGAAAGCTCAAGGATCTCCTCGTGACTTGATAGAGCAGGAAAAGTGCTGGCATAAGTAGCCAAATGGCCTAGAGCTCGTACAGCCACTCTCTGTTCAACCCAAGTTAACCTACCTCTCAGCAGTTCAATTAGGGGTGGGATCACACCAGCATGCACAGCATTTTCAGCAAATTCTTCAATGTTCATTGTGTAGGATCCAATTATATGTGCAGCATAATAAGGAATATATATATTTTGGTCATGAGAAAGCCAGCGACGATTCTTTAAACCCTTCCAAATTAGTGCTGCCATGCATTCAAATATTCCCAACTCAATGAACTCGGGATCATTGGGATGCGCCATGGCAGTGTTCCAAAGGCCACTGATAGGAAGAACCTGACCATCATCGTCCTGCGAAGGAAGTTCGCGGAAGAATTTTAATACACTTGCTCTGCGCTTACTTGGGTTCGCTTCTTTCATGACACAGAAGAAACATCCTGGGTATGGACAGTCAGGGGATACTTTATCCATGCTCAGTTAGTTAATTACTCACTCTTAACAGGGCATGAAGTTAATTCATCATAGCACTGCAAACATCATATAAGAAGATTAGTTTGGTACCCATTAGAAGATTAGATGGACAATAAATTGAAATACACCGCTTAAAAAACTGTGGCAGCAACACTTAAAAGTTCATGTATTTGCAACCATAGTAATAAGGTTTTTGGACAAGTCCCCAGCTACATTTGAATTTCATAGATCATGCAAAACATCATTTCTATCATGACAATTCGAAACAAACAACAAAATTTGCTATGCCAATGTGTCCCCTGGCCCATTTTTTAGCCAAGACCTAATATTCTGATGGACACAGTTTACTTGGAAATCACAAATATCTGGCAAGCCACGGAAAATTGAACCTGACATGTTTGGTCTTTGACCATCAACTTGTGCAATCTATGTAGCATAAATATGGTTACGAGACACGGATATCATATAGACACAATATGAACACAAAAATGTATAAAGATAAAATTTTATTAATATACATCTATTATATGGGAGATATGATATCGGAACTCTACTTATTTAAATAAATAAAATGGCAAAAATATCAAAAGTGAAATGTAGGATTATTTTTTGGGATAAGTGTGAAGCATAAGAGTGCTTTTGAATCAAAATTATGTCATTTCATTTAGAAAATAAATAATTTAAATAAATAAACAGTGTGGTCTGAAAGTGTACAAAAATGGAGTGCTGGTGTCATTTCCCTTACATGGACAGGTATAGAATTCTCATTAATTACTAATTTCTACACAAATTATTGCACAATGTGTAAGATGAAACTATGAAAAGATCATGAGAATTTTTATTTTATACTATATGCTAATACTACCACTCCTATTAAATTTTTATCATTAAAATTATATTCATGTCTTGTAATGGAAAGTGTATATTGCATTTTTGCCTTGTGATGGTCGCATATAATTCTTTTTAAATAACTAAGGTTGGATATTTTGCTGTCTGTTCATCCTACTCACAAGATTATTGATATGGCTCCATTTAAAATATATTTTTGCTACATAAGGTCTATGTTGGGGGGTTGTCTATGATATATTGGCAAGTGTATAAAAAAAACGAAACTTATTTTTGGATAACAGACATTCATGAGGTGCCCGATACATGTCTACGACTATTGTAAGTTTTAGTGTTCAACACGAACATGACGCCTTCGTGGAAGTGTCTGGTTTTCCATGCATCTTAGGGGCCAACTCAGCTACCCGTGAACATATGTAAATGATATTATTCTATCATTTATATGCATTAATTCGCAAAGATCCGATATTTTAAAAAAACAAATTAATTATTTTTCCAAAATTGTTCCAGTAAATTCTAGAATGACAACATAGCTTCTTTTCCTGTCATGAATACTTTTCCCTACCACATCAATTTTTAGTAACTGAAATAATTATGAAAAACTTGCTCAATCTTATTTAATATCAGCAGCTTAACAACTTTTGGGAGAAATTTTCCAAACTAACTTCTGGATCCCAAGGCAAATGATTTCTGGAATGTACACAAGAAGCTCTGCAAATAGATTGTGTTTATCTTATAGAAGGATACCAACAATTATCAAAAAAAATTATAGAACAAACAATTCAATTTCTTAGGTGTTCATATCTGTGCACCAATATGACCAATAAAACACAATATTCAAAATATCACTTCTGGTGTCGACCAATTGGCTTGCAGTAGAAATTAGATCACAAATTCAAATTATATCAAAAATCCATATTGTTAAAAATGCTAATGCAACCGTGAGAGCTTCATCAACGCAACTGCGACCTGCGGTTCGAAAGGTTTTTGTTTCTGGATTATACAAGTTCTGGAATCAAATTTCAAGCAACTAGATATTTGAGAAGGTAGGAAAAAGGATCAAGAACGAAAATAAAACGCCCAAAAAAGTAAAGAGAGAGAGAGACAGAACAATTCCATCAGTAGCATGAATCAACAGTGATAGTGCCCACAAAATTCCTCATTTATATTGATAGTTTGACAGACAGGAAACTTACAATAGAAAGATGTAACAATTAAATCTAAAGGATAAACAAACAAAATTGCTTCTTTGTCACAAAGAAAAGTAGTACATTTGCAATTCAATTCGATTGAAGTAAGATAACAAACCCAGGAAACATTGAAAACAAAATCCTCAAGTCTTTAAGCAAGATTCAATTTTTAAGAAACCCTAGTCAGAGACTTAAAACCAAACTCATGAACACTCGAAACAAGCAAAACAAAGACAACAAAAGAAAAAAACAACTCGAGCAAGTAATAAGATCCTTATCTACATTGATTTTTACAAGAAGGAAGAAAAAAAAAAAATTAAAACCCAAAGAGAGAGTAAATAAGATACCTGGAAGAATCAGTTGGTACAGATGAGTGAGAAGAAAGAGTAGTGAACCAAAGAGGTTGAATCAAGTTGCTTCAGAAACAGTGGCCGAAGCATAAAAATGGTTTTTCTGATGCGAAAAAGAGCAAAATTTGCTTTTTGAATCTGTGGTGTCTTTCTTTCTTTCTTTTGTGTTGCGTCGATCAAAAGAGGAGAGAGAAAGTAGACAAAGAAGAGAGGCAGCAGTGCACGCTGAAGTTGAAGGGGTGTGGGCGATTCTGACAGCCAAAGGAGATCTTGTAATGAAACTACACTATTTTTTCGCCTTTAAATGCAATACTACTATTAATTTCCCAAAATAAATTTGTCATGTCACGCGCTTTTTCCTCACGCGCACTGTAACGTCTTTTTTGTGAATAAATTTTGCAAATGATAATATTCAATTATTGATATAAACTTTACAACGGTCGTATTTCTCCACCGCGGGTCAAAACTCCGGCCTACTTTGTACCACCATTTTTTTTTTTGGTAATAAACTTTTAAATTAGTGTGACCAACCTTATTCAAATGAGATAAAAATAAAAATAACAGTGATGATGAAATTTTGCAAATAAAAAACTTTAATACCATTACATGTTATCGATGACAAGTACTCCATAATTAAATTAAGAGATTGTGAAATAATCAAACATTAAAAAAAAAAAAATGTTAACATGTTTGAAGACTTTTATTTTAAATTTCACTTTATTAGAACGAGAAATATATTTTAGCATATACCACTTTTTCTTGAATTTTTCCTTCTTTATCAGCTAATTTATTTTAATTTTGCTTTTGCTTATGAGCCACATTTTCCTCTTTCCTTTTCTCTGCGTGAGTGAATTGTGAAATGAATTGAATATTTGACCTAATTGTATATCTGTTTATAAAGAAAATATAGTTATGAAAAAAGGGAGTATATATCTTATTCAATTTGTTAATTAAGATGTTATCGTTGATTTTGGTGGATAAAGTTTGAAATAAAAACAAAAATGACAATTTTGAAGCATGTTAATCTTTGATTTTGTAATTAAAATAAAACGTATTTATTTATTATTGATCCACGTCAGCACTAAAATGGTGTACATTTTCACTAGTGAAAATTTAAATATTGTCCAAACAAAAGCTATAAGATTGTAACTTTTTTAAAATTATATATATGTACTTATTCGTTCATGAGTTTAAAACTTAAAATAAATATCTCGATAATTTATTGAGTTAGTGTCTTAAAAAATTAAATAATATATACATATAAAAGTGGAGGATGATCACAAGGAGTGCACTTTATTTGATAGAGTATGATAATGATTGATGTCGTTAGTGTGTGTGAGAGAGAGTGTGTGAGAGGGGCTGCGCGTGGGGTTATAGCTGCGAAATTATAGGCTTTAAAATGAACCACCAATGTTCGCTCCTAACTGTGACCAGAGTACAATTTCCTTTATATATTTTCAGAAGAGTTTGGTTTTATTTTATTGCACCACATTTATAGTTCATTTGATGTGAAATTGGATGTAATGTAAAGTAAAAACGATTAAAACACACACACATATATATATATATATATATATATATGTGGACATAAGAAAAGTTTTAACTTTTTCTTCTTCTTATTTGCTCAACCCAAAAAAACTATCTTTCTTTTTTTTTAAATTTTAAATTTTATTTCATGATTGGGGGAGCAGGATAGCGAGAGGCCACACCTTAATTAGGGTGAAGAAATATTTGGAAAGAGCAATGTCGATCTTGACTCCTACAAAGGAAAGTGGACGGTGGGACCCAAGCACAACATGGACAACTCAGACCTGTTGACCGTGCAACATTTTTTTAGTTTAGGATTTATGTTCCAACTTTTTCTTTTTTTTTTCTTTTTCTTTTTTTATATGTATTTATATTCCAACCATGCTTGTCATATTATTCATTAAAATGAAAAAACTGGGTTTTATCGAATGTCAAGTTTTCATAGAATAAGAGAGGATAATAGGTATTTTGGCTCTACTTCAAAATTATTTGTCACCAACTGTATATATAGTCGTGATAGAGTCATTTTTTCTATCCAAATAATTACACTACCATTGTTGAAAAAGAAAAAAAAAAAGTTTCGCAATAAAATTTCAACAATAATTAATGTTTGATATAATGCGGTTTCTTACCAACCTACAAGAGCTATAACTAAGCCTAAACCCCTAGCCTTTTTGGGTCTTATAGTTTAGTACCTTCTGTCTTGTTCGAAAGCTATAAAGCCATGTTTCATGAAGGAGAGAGAGACACAATTTGTTGGACTAAAGTCTTCATCTGTGAAACATGGTCCTGTTTTGTTCATTGTTTCACATGGCCCAGTTTTGGTCAGTATTTTACCGTTGTCCTGTTTGTTCCGTTAAAATATATAAACATACATGTTTATTTTGGAAATTATAAGTCTCAATTTTTAAAGGGACATCTATTTTAAGAAGGAAAGGTATGTTTTGTCATGTTAAAAATTATTGTGATATAAACGGAATAAAATTACTATTTCATAGAAAATAATTTTATTCCCAAGTTGTTTTCTTTTTTAAACAGCATCCCGTATGATTGCATCATGCTACACTTTCAATTACAGCTAACTACCTCAGTCATTGGGCTGATGTGCCTGACTACAATTTGTGGCCAGTTTAGCAGTATAACACTCACCTTTTATTATTTTATTTAAGTTTTTTTTTATTATTATTATTATTTATAAAATATAATCGTAAAATATTTTTAAAACATATTTATTTAAATGGTTATTTTTCCAACCACTCATGTTTCGAAAACTATTTATTTCTTGAAACATTTTTGTTAACAAATTTTTTAAAAATAAATATAAAGACATTACGTATTTTCTCACAAGTAATTAAATAAATAAAAGGCATTCCATATTTTATAATAAACAAATAAAATAAAATGACATTACATATTTTCTCATAAATAAAAATACATTACATATGACCACCCCTTCAAGTTAATTTATTTAAGATTGTATTTTGTTGTGCAATGATCCATGTTTTTGTTGTAGCCTTCGATGCGCATTATGTCTCTTTCAAACTCTACTTCAGTCTCCCAAAGAGGACACAAGAAGTCATTGGAAATGATGTTTAACGGGCGTTTGGTGTACTGCAAATAAGGTGGGCTATAATGCATGGACTAATGTATTATTAAAAAAAAAAAAAAAAAACATCGTGATAACAATAACGTGAATCATATAAGACGAGCGCGACAATTTAAAATGGACACTTCCGATAAATGAGCCGATACGCCTTCCACACTACAATTGAAATCCATCATTTTTTATGGCACACATTTCTACTCGTCAGAGTATGATTCACAATGTAAAAAATAATGTGGATATCAAGAGAGATCTCACAAAGAAGTTTAAAAACAATATCAAATAAAATATATTTTTCCATATTGTCTATGAAAAATAAAATATAAATTTTTAAGAATTTGTTTGTACTTTATTAAGATTTTCCAATAAGTTTTAAAAGTATTTTTTTGTTTAAGAGTAATTTAATCATAAATTAATTCAACATCACATTAAATTTTTATAATAGAGATGATCATATGAGTAATTTGAATTAACTTAACTTTTTAATTCGAAATCTAAGTTTGAATTGAAAATCCGAGTTTAGGACCAGAAAAATGAATTTGGGCTCATATTGAACAAGTAGGGTTGGGTGTAGAGTTAAGATTGAGCTCAAATTGACCATTTCATGCGTCGAATTGGGATGAAGCTATAAGGTTATACCAACCTAGCTATGAGTACCAAGCTGTTTGGTCAGCAGCTGCGTGGGACCCACGTTTGGCCAATCCCATACCTTCTGGTCCTAAGGCTTACATTGAATCAGACTGAACATTGGTTCTTTTTGTCTCTCTGTTATCGGATTCTAACGAGTAAAAGAGACCATAAGTCTAACGCCCATAAGAACTCCCTAGATGGCAGGTACCATCTCTCTTCAATTAAACAATTTAGGATGATAAGAAAACCCAAGCCCAACTGAAATACCCATGATCGAAGCCCACCAATATGATGTCCATTTAACCCTGAACTTCACTCACATCAACAATTCACATTTGTGACGAATTATGTGGAAAAGATGAAAAAATAGATATTGGCATCTTGATTGATTAGATTTATTTGTCATTTGTAGGCCTACAAAAAAAATAAAAAAATTTAATGTATTGAGGTGATAGTTGATGCAAGAGGAGCCGAAGTTTAGACCAATGTTAGACAAAGCCTAAAATCTTGGCCTACTTGGGAGTGTCCGAGGAGTTGGCTGATATTGTAACGGTGAATGCGTATCTATTTATCTTAAATCTTATATTATTAGGTAAAGTTAATATATAATTCATATATACTCATTATAATTTTTATCCAAATTTATACTCAGGGCGTTTGATATTATTTGAGGCCTAAAACAAAATTTAAAAATTAGGCCTTTTTCTTTTTTATATATCTATATTTTACAAGTCAAGAAGGGTTAGAAATTATATTAGTAGATGTATTCCAAAATCCACTAGAGACACTTACTCACTTGGCTATCCAGACATCTACTTTCCTATGTTTACTATATGAATATAATATTAATAATTTTTATTCAAGGAAACCTAAAATATTATTTGGATTTTTAAATTTAGAAATAGTAATTTAATTTTATAGGCAATTAATGTGTGAGGATCCAAAAGAAATATGATGACAATTATTGGCATGTAATAGAGATAATGTTTTATTTTGTAGGCAGTTAATGTGCGAGAGGGTTGAAAATAAATATAATGTTGAATTATTATTGAAATGAAATAGAGATACTGATTTTATTTGGAATGCGCTTGGCGTGGTATATGATCAAGGATTGAGTTAGACTCTAATATAAACTGTAACGGTTGAGCGTTTATCCATTTACCAAAAAATTTAAACTATTGAGTAGAACTAATACTCAACCCATATATACTCATTATAATTTCCATTCGGATTCGATGTGAGACAAGTCCAACTTGTAACACTAAGCCACTAAGTAATGCACACTCCTTTTGTTTTTTTTCTAATAATAAGAAAAGTTTGGCAAAAAAACTTCACATTCCTATTAATAATAGCAAAGTAATACTCATTCCCTCCCAAAATAAGTGTCTAACATTTCTATTTTTATTCATTCCAAAATAATTGTCACACTTCAAAAAATTCATGTACTATTTTTTGTAATATTACTAATTTAATCTTCTTGTAAAATGTATAAAAAATAAACTATCACATCACTATAAACTCACTAGAGATAAATTTGATAATTTATTCAATACTACTAATAATTATCATTTAAAAAAAAAGTTAAACTCTTAAAAATAATTAAAATGAGACAAAAAAACAGTAAAAATTTAGTTTGGGATCATATATAATGCAAAGGTTTTACACCAACTTAAAAATAAAAGATTAAAAGTTAGACGGTTTGGTGTTTGATGCTCCAACCTTTTTAACTGCAATTTCGCTTTCATTATTGTCCCTTCAATAGTTGAGGTCTGAATGAAAATAGTTTGATCTAGTTATTATCTAATAATTGGTAATAATAAGGGACTATGGACCCTACATTTAATAGATGTTAAAACTCTTTGACAATAGGCTCAATAAGGAGGTCGTAAAGAGATAATTTAGTTAGCCTAAATTTAGTTGACTATATTAACCCAGAGATCTAGGACTGTGTCGGTGTTGAAGCTAAGCAATTGTGTCGGTTGCACAACTGTGTCCGATTGTTACGTTTTAAAGCGTTTCGCTGCATTAATTTGTGGACTATAGTAACCTCCACCTCTGCAATGCCCTAACCCATAACCTCCAATTTATTACATTCATCAGCAGTAACTTGGTCTGGTTGGATTATGTATCAGAAAAAACAACTTGGTCTGGTTGGAGTTTTCTCAACCCTCAATCTAAGGTATGAGGCCTCCAATATTAATCTAGCCTGACCTTCAATACAATTACAGGACCTTCAATCCAACTGCAATAATTTTTCAATTCTTAAAAAAGAGGAGAGTAGTTCGAGTTTCAACCCAGTCTCATAAAAAGACCTAATTTTCAACATTTATAATTTTGAAAACGAAATACGTTATATTTAATGTAGAAAGAAATTAATCTCTGAAGTACTAGTGCTTTTCAATCGCATGTAACATGGTGATTTCAAGAATGTAACACGCTTTTACTTTGGTGATGTTGCACGTATGTAAAATTTATGTCAATGTTACAACACTCAGGACCTTTATTTTAAAGTTGCATTTTTAATACATCTTCAAATTAGTGGTGTACTATTCCTAAAATAAAGTATCTCCCGCGCAGAACAAATACAATTTACAAAAATGTACAATATGGATATGTTCATCTTTTGAGTGGCAGTGAAACCAAAATCAATTGTTGGAAGCATAGAATAGCATTAGTTTTTCCAATTATACAATGGACAGTTCTCAGTTTTTACGAAGTAACAGAAGACGCATATAAATTATACAATCATAACATGATCTTCCAAACAAGTGTGACTTTATAAAATGAACGGCTGATTTTAAATCTCCGTTCATTTATTTTTAATCTTAATAAACATACAAATTGTGCACCAAAATAATAAAAGCGACAAATTTTCGCTTCTTTCAGTTAAAATAATAACCAAATATAAAGGCCAGAGAGAGAGACACAGATTAGTTCTTTTTGCCTTCCTCACCACCTTCTTCTAAGTAAGCCTTCTTCCTCCTGTCAGCCCTTGCTAACAGACAAATCACGAGGAAACACGTGGCATACATTCCATGGACCCTCCAACTGCTCTTGGGCGGTTGATGCAACACAACCCTGTGAAATACCGTCACGTAATAATGAAGCCCAACCGCAAAGCCCACGATGGTCTGACCCAGGCCCAACAACTTCGAGCCCAGCCCAGAATCAGTCGAGAACACCAGAATCAAGTACATCAAGAGCAACAACAGGTACAGCACATATGCAAGAGTTTGCAGCACCTGTACACAGACGTACGTAGACTGCGAAGTAGCGTAGAAAAACCTCAACGGCTCGAGCCCGGTCACCAAGGAAGATAAACAGAGTATAGAGAAGTAGATGGAGAGATAAACTTGGACGAAGATCAAGAGCTTTTGGAGAGAGAAATAAGCTTTGATACGGTTGAAGAGGAGAGAGACTAGAAGTAGAGGGATTAAAATGAAGGCAAAAGAGACAAAAGAAGCAATCATAGGTGCATATTTGTTACCCACAATGGGTTTGAACCCTTTTGTGATCTCTTTGTTGGCTTTGTTGAGATAGACTTTTGAAGTTGTTGAAATTCTATCTAAATCTGGCATAAAAGTTTCTTGAAATTTTGAGGGTAGATCTCTGAATTCAGAGACTAGGTGGTCCAAGTCGTCCTCATCTTCCTGGTCAATCCAACTGGGTTGTGTTGGCTTTTTTTGTGTGGGTGTGGGTTTGGGCTTTCTATCTGGGTTTTTGGATTTGTCTAATTGGGTTTGGCTCTGTTTTGTGGTAATTGGGTTGGTTGTCTTGTTCTTGGGCGTGCTTGGTTTGTTCAGATCTGAGGACTTCTTGGTGAGAAGCGAGGTGGGTTTGGTTGAATTTGAGATTTTGGAAGTGGAATTGAGCTTCTTGATCTGGATTTTGATAGTGGTGGGTGTTGAATCTGTAGTGGATTTGAGGAGCTTGGTTTTGTTTTTGGTTGAATCAGAGTTGAGTTTGATGAGCTTGGTTTGGTTTTTGGATGTTGAATTTGTGGTGTTCTTAATCAATTTGGTGGTTTGGTTACTGGTTGTGGTGGGTTTGATGAGTTTGGTTTGATTTTTGGTGGAGAGTGTAGGTGTTGTTTTCTTCTTGATTGGCTGATCTTCATTTTGTACCTCTAACATTCTTCTTGTACCCAGAAACAACTCATTGTTGAGAGATTGGGTTCGAGTGTCGGCACAGACAAGAACACAAGTGAAGAGAAATAAAACAAGAAAAAGGAGTACCTTTGTGAGACTCAAGTAGTGGAGTGGAGCCATGAACTGTGAAAGTCTGAAACCCGGAGATCTATGTATGTACGTATGTAGGTGAGGGTTGTAAGATTTAGAGCCCCAGTTGGATCTCTAGATTTTATACAGAGAGTGAGAGAGCAGAAGCATAAGAGAGAGAGAGGGAGAGGAATTTAGAGAGAGATATATACTACATGTGTGTGAAAGCAATGTAGCTAATGGAAGACTTTAATTCGGGAGTGAAAAGATGAGATGAGTCACATGCTGCAACTAGACAAGTATGGTATAGTAAACGCGGTGTTGCCTCTCTGTCTCACCTCACCCTCTCTTTCTTCTCTCTCTGGGCACCGGTGTAAAATGTAATAAACTATTTTTCCTTCCATAACAATAATCAATTGATTTAATAATTTTAATAACAATAATCAATTGATTTAATAATTTTAAGATAAAGTACATTAACACTTTTAAAGTTTGACACAAGGACAAATAGATGCAAGTTGTTCTGTTTTTGAACAATTAAACCCCGCGAGTTTAATAAAATGGACAAAGACACCCACGACAATGGTGAATTGACTTTATTACCCTTTGATATAAAATTAATAAATGTAATTGACTTAAATACCCTTAAATTGAATAAGTTCAAATGGGTTATCCTAAAGCTTCTCTTCCATCTCTCTGTGTGGTGTGTTATATATATATATATATATATATATATATATATATATATATCACCACCACAAATCAGCCCCACTGCATATACCGCCGCCGGATCATCATCATCCCTTAACTGCCGCATCATCATCGGCATCATCAATTCATCACGGTGATGAACGAGGTACACAGAACTGTCGAAAATGGACCGACGTTGGAGGGGTCGATTGTGAGAAATTCGTGCTGCCGCCGGAGGAGCATAAAAAAGGTAATCCTATTATCTCTGCAAACCCCTCCAAAACCCTCTCTTTAAACCCTCGTCGGCCTTCCAACCCCTCCAATGCCATCGGTGATGACGTTAAGGTCGAGGAGAAGATTGAGGCGGTGATGATGAAGGCGAGGGAGAATTCCGGTGAGAAAATTGGGGTTTTGATTTGAGATGTAGAGTGTATCGTTTACGGTTTCGATTGGATATGAAAATAGGTCAACAATTTCACTACGTTCCACTGTGTTGGAGACGAAGATGGAGATTCAATCCGATTGGAGAAGAGATTGATTTTGATTACACAGATTCGTGTTGTATTTTGAGTTGTAGATTTGCTGGTAGAAAGATAGAGATAGTAGTGGTGGGGTTGGGTGGGTGGGTCTCATCGAGGTGTCACGATGGTGGGTTATGGCGAGGTGTTGGTGGTGGTGTAATGGGTGGCGGGAGGTGGTAGGGGTTGTTTGGGTGGTCTAATTGATGAATGGATTTAGTAATTTTAATGTTGTAAGTCTTAGATTGATTGGGTCAGATTGAGGTGCATCTCTATCTTCTCTGTTTCCTCCGACGAACCACCTCTACCATCTTCTCCGGCATAATGGACTACACATGATGTCGGCAAAGACAGAAACTAGTCCACCGTTGATGAGAGGTTAGAGATACAAAGGGGTCACCGTTTACATTGGATTCACAGAAAGCGGTGGCAGCGAGGGTCATCGGACAGAGCACTGATAGAAGTGGGACGCGACGGTGTTGATCGGTGGTGGCTTTGGCCACTGAATGTATATACACACACACACATATATATATACAGATGTAATTAGTGTATAATGGTATAAGAGTCTTTTAAAAGTTTTGATATTTTATAATTTAAATTAATAAAATATTAAAGGGCATTCTTGACTTTTTACAAAATTTAAGGGGCTGTTTGGATCAAAATTTTGACTAAGGGGTGTGATTGTCCAAAAATATAGCAACTTGTATCTGCCTATCCTTATGCGAAACCTGAGGGAGTGTTAGTGTACTTTACCCTATATTTTAATTAATTGGTTAATTTGGTTAAAAATCTGAACTTTTCTAGCTCAACATTAAACAAATGTCAATTAGTTTTGCTTAATTTTTACATGGAAAATGATTTTAAAATGGATCCACTATAGTATATATAATATATCCAGAAGAACATTGTCCGACTATTTTCAATTTCTTTAGGGTGCGTTTGGATACACAGGAGAGAGAAAAAAAAAATAGTATTAGTTAGGAGAGAAAAAAAAAAGAAAAAAAAAATAATAATAATTTCTATTTATGTTTAGATAGATAGGAAAGAAAAGAAATGATAGTCATGTTTGGATGGATAAGGGAGAAAAGAAAAGAAATGATAATCATTTTTGGATAACATAGAGAAGAGAAAAGAAAAGAAAGGATAATAACTAAATTACTGTTCTATCATTTTATAATTGTAAGTGGTTAACTGCGACTTGAATGGAAAAAATTTGTATATTTATTTGTGGAGGCTAATTTTGGTATTATCAAAATACCACTAAACCACACTTGCTTTCTCTCCCTGTCTTCTCAATTTTGAGGAGATAGCAAATGAGGCCCATCTCTCCCTATCTTCTATTTTCTCACTATTTAAGCCACCCAAACACATTTGAGCCCTATCTTTTTTTCTTTTTTTTCCTTTTCTTTTCTCTCTTTATTCCTCCAAATCATCTTATCCAAACACATCGTTGTAGTGTTCGAAACTTAATTAGTTTTTGCTATGTTAAATCAAAATTTAAATTGAATATTTTAAGAAGAGTGGTGATATGAAATTTAGGTGGTAGGAATTATTCAAAGTGTTGTACTTATTTTGTTTGATAAGGCAATTAAGGGTGTGCACTAATATGTAAATTGGGATAATAATTAAGTCAAAAATGTTACAACCTAAGAAGCTAATATCACATCACACTCATTATCATCACTAAAATATATGAAACCTTATTTTTGACTCCTAACGTGATATCACTAGTCTCCGAGCCATAGAATAATGCTACAAAATCTGTTAGTATCAGAAGCTTGACTCGGGGTTTGACTAAAGTTTGGTGACTTAGCTAGCCCTGAGATTTATACTATGATCTGGCAATTTTGCTTCTGTGAGTTAGAGACCAATAGTTGAAATAGTTGACTTAGGTGTAACCAAAGTTCGTTTGGTCATTTAGCTAGACCTAAGATTTATACTATGATCTGGCAATTTTGCTTCTATGAGTTAGAGACCAATAGTTGAAATAGCTGACTTAAGTGTAACCAAGCTATACGTTAACATTTATACAATAATTTGTTTCTCCATTTAGGGAAGCAAGTTTATGCAATTTTTAAATCGAAAAAAGAAAAAAAAAAATTCTATGCAAACAGGCAAACACATACAAATGTGGCATAGTTTAAAGGTGCGTATAGGTAGGCCAGAGACACGCTGTCGTCCATGAAACCATGTCACCATGTGGTCCACTTTAGAATCTTAAAAAAAAAAGGGTGGGACCATTTAATGTAGTGAGACCCATGTGTCGCATAGAATTTCCACTCTGTTTTCTTGCATTATGAAAGGGCAGAAAATTATTACATAGTTTCGTTCATGTAATTCTTATTAATTATAGACTGCTATATAATTAAAAAAATTAATTAAATTTTATACATTATAATTTATTATAATTACGTGATTTTAACCTATCTAATAATTCTTCATTGATTAACCTGCACACACCTCTGTATCATTGTGACATTCTTGAGTGAGATAGGAAAGAACAACTCCATAACTATGTAGTTTCTGACTTTCTGATATAAAAGTTGAAACTCAAAAACAAAAAAACAATTGATAAGAGGCCTGCAACGAAAATAACTAGAATTACAGGATCGAAACAGTTGCACATGAGGATCCTCTCTCTCTCTACATATATATATATATATATATATATATATATATATATATATATGCGCGCATGTAAGTAACAAGCGCACAACTACTTCATAACCAACTTCCATGGTGCTAGACTTATAGTGCAACCCCACTCTAGTCCGCACTAAAAGTTTCCATCATTTCTATACTTGGGATTTATATAGCTCCAACAAATGGCAATCAATTTAAACCCACCTGCATGTCATTACGTATCTTAATGCTTTCATTCACGGAGAGAGAGACTTTAGCCTGGACGCCTGTGGCCTGGGGTATAATGTAATTTACTGTTTATTCAAAAATCATGTTGGCCCGTCTATTGAAGAAATAATGTAATCCTTATATGCGTTGTCATAGGTTTAATGTCGTAACATCAGGTAATTAACTTTCCCGAAAAAAAACAAAATGGTGTAACGTCATATTAAGATTGCATTCCAGTCAAGTTAGTTTCAAGGTTTGGCAGAACAATTAATACCACGAAAAGTACAACCAGGAAAGAAAATGAAATGAAAATCAACTAGTTAAGAGGAGATTTTTTTGGAACAGTTCAATCTGGAATCTTTGATAGAATGAGGCTCAATTTCATGATATTCTAACCATATGCCAGACTATAATATATGTGTGTGTGTGTGTGTGTGTGTTTTGGTAGCATGTCATTGTCATAAAATACAGATATTTATGAAGTGCATGTGTTTGGCTAATAAAACTATGCAGATCGGACCTTGAATATGAGCGCCTCCATGTAGGGTACTGTATTCACTTTCCCACTAAAATGTGGCTGCAAAGTCTAACTTTTTTATTTTCCCAACTCCCTGTTTTCCCACAACCCAAACATTAACTGATAATTATAGCACATAGCTAAACGGACATCTACTTTAGTAACCAAGAGCGATATATCAGAACTATTTTAAAAAAGAAACCATCTGAAAGCACTTGAAGCAATGAATCTGGAGCAAAATATAGACCACGGAAGGCAAAAGGTCACACAACTGCTTTATGCCATCGATTCTTTTCATTATAATTATAATTGCATGTTGAATCCACAATTCGGACCCCTTTTAGCTTGTGCATGTAACTCTGTGTCGTTGTCACTGAAAAAGTGTATAATTTGCTTTGAGCAGAGTGACTGCTCTTACAATCGAAATGCATGCCCATAGTAAAAGCTAATAAGAGTTGAAGTAAAACTCTAGAGTGCCTCTGAACCCTTGTTACCTATTTTTTCTTTTCTTTTTATTATATTTTATTTATACTTAAAAGAGTATAATGTGCACTAACTTCTTCTTCTTCTTTTTTCTATTTTTTTTTTTTTTTTTTCTGGATAATTTATGTGCATTAACTTTGTAACTATATGAAAACTTGAGCGGCAATTAATTTCTTACTCTTCTCGATAAAATTTGAGGGAATTTTTTTTATAGTATTATTAAAAAATAAAATAAATCTAATATATCCCCCACTTCGCCCCGCCCCGCCCCATCCCTAATATATGGCATGAGTATAAGAACCGTTTATATATTATAGGGGCGGATATGGTATTAGATTTTAAATTCGTCACGGGTACGAGTATACATGTGTTATACATATATGCACAGAATTGTGTTCATATATATATATATATATATATATCATTATTTATTATGTATTTACATTGTATAGAATTTATAGAATTTATGAATTTGTTTACATAGATAATATATATACACACACACCCACGTAAGCGGGGGCAGTTACGAGTATACTCATCTCTCAATGGACACGAATATGGATTGTGAAATTTAAACTCGTGGCAAGAATGTAACAACCATGAATTTGTTCATAATTAAATGGGTAAGTACAAATTTAAGTAACATATTCAATTTGTCATAATACAGAAGAACAGTAAGTTGTAAACTGTCCAATTTGGTGCGACAAGCATAATAATAGGAGTTTCTAATACAATGTCAAGGTTGACCAATCCCACAAAAAGTTGCATGAGTGTTGAGAAAAGTTGCATGAGTGTTGAGAATTGTGTTAATTAATGCTTAATTGCTGATATACTACACGCGAGTGGTGAGCCTCATGTAGTATTCTTGTTTGGAATTTGCTATTCTTAAGATTAACATTCTGAGAATCAAATAATACTTGCAAATTTCAGGTTCTTTCTCGAGGATATGGGCAATCAGCAGAAAATTTGTTTCTTAATATACAAATGCAAAATTAGTCTTGGTTCGTAATTGTTCAATATATATATATATATATATATATATAAAAGATATTAGGAGAGTGATTTTCTATGATTGCATTTTCTAATAATTTTCTTATTTTGAAAGAAATGAATTGACTTGCACTAAATAAAGTTGACAAATCTAAGAAGTTTACATCAAAAGTCGCATAACCCAAGGGGGTTTTCAATGAAATTTTGATTTATCTAATAAAGGGGTGTAAAAGAAATTTTCGACATTCAAAGTCCCATACCTTAGTTTTGCTGTGTCGCAACTGTGTTTCAACATACATCAGCTGGCTATGTCGTTTTGACACATAAGCTGTCTTTGCTGCTAAATATTTCATTTCTATCAATTAATTTTTTGCTATTTCTTAATGTTTATATTCCACTCGTAACTCAACTGCAGGAAAAAGAATATATAAATGGCCGTTATAGGTTTTAAGATAGTGATAACAGTCAAACCAGTAGCAACTTCAGACTATGCAGAATAAAAACAAAAGATGAAAGTTTTTCAGAATAAAAAGCTATGATCCAATGGATCTAGAGCAGTAAATCTGGAAACCTTGATTCAAAACATTATAAATCTTGCAAACTAGGCATTGTGTATAGACTATAATCTGCCAAACCGAAAGGACAATTGAAAAATGAAAAGCTAGATGTCGAGAACAAAATTTTCACGAAATCAAACCCATTTCAAGTAAATCAGGTTGAATTAAAATCTAAAATGATTATATAGTTTTAGGGGACATAATATAATTCTATGACCATGTTATACATTTTGTTGAAGCAGATCAGATAATCAGTGTTATCAGTTGGGTTTGAGTTGTGGGATTGGAAGCAATATTTTGAACTGAAGGCACCATCTTCTGATGGCAATAAGATTGGTGTCAGCATCTTGTGTGTTCAACGGTTTTGGCAATTAAAGCATCCAGTCTTAAATTTCAATTTCAAAGAATATGTACCTCTTGTTACTACTCAATATTATTGTTAATATGAAAATGGAAATTATATGATTATTTCAACAAGAGATTTGAAGTTCACAAGTATGCCATCATGCGTTGATGACAAGTTTATTCATTCATTATTATTATTATTGAAAGATAAACACAAGGCATGGGACCATGGTACAAGAGGTTGTAAAATCAAATAGTGAAAACTCAGCCACCTAAAAAAAAATGAATCAATTTCTTTACCTGCTTATCTCTCAGAAAGAGAAAAAAATTTAAGGTAACAACATACAAACGGTTGAATATAAAATCAAAAAGTGCTCTTTGAGTACATAACAAGTTTGAAAGAACACGTTGGTAAAGGTTATATGTCATTTGAGTTGGTAACGAGGACTCTGTTTTGTGCAATGCGCTTCTATTGATTGAGTTTGTTACTTGCCAAAATCTGAGAATGTCAACTGATGGGAAAGTAGTCTCTTCTCATCATTCTCATCAAGATCAAGGCTTTCCTCTCCTTCATAATCTATTTCAATCACGCTTTTTTCGTTTCCATGTAGCTCATCTGATTCAGGGACACGAACAAGTTGAGAGTATTCTTCTCCAAAAGGAAGATTATCCGACCCCATCTGTTGCATCTCTGACTCTATCATAGCATCCATTCTTGCTCGGTCCCTGTCTCTCGGATATGTACAGTAGAGGAAGGAGTAGATGAGGCAACAGATTGCCATTGGAATGCCTATAGCTGTGTAAAGTGCCTTAGCAAGTGCTGCAGCATTCTCTCTATCCGTTTCAATTTCTTCTGAATTTGTTGATCCTTTTGGAATTGGTTTATAACCATAAACATGCTGTGACAGAATTCCAACCACAGGGGGAGCAAATGATGATAATATGGACTCAAAAGACCGATCCAAAGCGTAGATGCTCGTTCGAGATCTCTCAGGAACTATCTCTGCAAATATTGGACTGTATACATGTTAACAATGAATGGTTAAAAAGGTCATATGTTTCTAATTAATTCTACCATTTTGATGCAGAACTAAGAACTTGTTTGGCCTTGTGTACTCTATACAAAACATATCACACTTAAACATATGGTGGCATGCAATAGTTGGATGACCATAATCATCTGATGGCAATCCTTGTGCACATGCTTCTAGAGTTTTCTACCAAGATTATGTACTCCGTGAAGAATGTCAGATAATCTAAGCATGGAAATAATTCCAAATAATACATAGTTGAACCAGGGAGCAGATTGCTCTCTTTAAATTATTCATGCTTACACGTTTATAGTAGTGCAAACAGCATCTATACAGCATGTATATTTTGCTCACAAAAAGTATATGCATGACAGTTCCTTGGAAAAAATAGTAGTTTATGCAAATTTACCTAAAACAAAAAAAATAGTAGTTTTTGCTACTATGCAATTCCAATGCTTTAGAATATGAAATGGCAAGTGAGAATTGAACGAAGTAATCCTCGGAGAAAGCTACTAGATTGAAGATGCAAGAAATTCGTTCCCCTCTTTCTCTCTCTAGAATTCTTACACCTCAACCCAAAAAGATCCCCTTCCTTTCCATTCCTTATCCTATTTATAGATATTTACAAGATATTTACTGATTGCTGGATCTGGGCCTATTCCTCCATAAGTCCTGGTCACCTTTGATGGGCTTACTCGCGTTCGGCCCATATGGCAGTGTCTTTATATGGGCCGACCCAGCTGTACGAACTGAATGTAGTGTTTGCGAGTCGGATCCGGCCCATGTCGTCCGGGGCCTCCTCAACTGCCCCCATAATTGCCCCTTATTTAATAAGGGGTAATTATTGATGGCGTCTCATCATGATGTTGACGGCTCGAGATAACCACGTGGGGGAGCGGACGGTCAGATCCAGAATCAATGTTCCGGGGCTCGAGGAATTTCTCGCCTTCCCGACGCTTCGGCCCTCGGGCCCTCTCGCCTTTATAATGCTCTAGAATTCCACTTCACTTCCCTTTACCGTCTCCATCATCAGTCAAGTCTCTCTCTTTCTAGAACAGTGCTAAGCTTTTTCTGGTGAAATCCTTCAAGAGTCATTCTTCCAGCGATCTTGCAGTCCTCCGAGGTTAGTTTCGTTCTTTTTTACTTTCGGCAGGCTTCCATTTACCCCCTTTTAGATTCTTCTAGCACTTCCACCATGATTGTAGATCTGGATGTTCTTCGTATGAGACTTAGACTTCCTGACAACATCGAAGTTAGGGTTTGCCCCCAGGATGTTAACATTATGACCGGCGCCGGCCTCCTGCCCGGCGAAGTCTTATTCACGAACCTTCAATTGAATGTTGTTAGGTTCCCTCTGCACCCTTTCTTTAGTTATGTCTTCAATAGATTGGGGATATCCCCTCTGCAGGTCAACCCCAACTTCTTTAGAATCATATCTGTTATGCTCTTGTTGATGCGTGACAGAAATCTGGACCTCGACCTCATAGACCTCCTTCTGTGCTATAAGGTCAGTAAGATCCGTACTAACGAACCCTTCTACCACCTCTACCCGTTCGAGAAGATGTCCATATGTACGGACACAATAAAATCTGAGAAGGGTTGGAGGGATAGCATCGTGGGCATTAGTGGGGCTTGGTCTTCGCCGGCTGCAGAGGATTACCCAATCCCGAGCGCCTTTGGTGTCTGTTCTGTCTCCTCCTATAAGAAATTCAAATCTCATAAACATGACTGCCCCTGCGAAACATGCGTTCCTCGTTTTTGCACTTTCTTATGCCGTTCCTTGGGAATACCTTGTGATGACTTGAGCTATAGTGTTTGCAGGGATAGGAGTAACTACTTGAAGAAATACGTTCTGAACGATATTCCTTCCTGCTCAGATCTCCTCACTTCAGACAACCTCTTAGCGCTCTCATCACTCGGCTACAACATGAGCAGACTTCAGATTCCTTCTTTTGGCAGGAAGAAAAATACTCCCCCAGCCACTCTTGCTGCTGGGGCGACCTTCTCTCCAGCGTCAGCTTCTTCCTCAGCCACCATATCTGACACTGTCCCGAGCGCAGTGGCTATTAACCCTGTTGCCAGCGCCCCTGCTGCCAACCAGAACGCGTCCTCCCCAGCTACCATAGCTCCTGCTGCTGCGGGGGGCGGTCGGGATAAAGAACGAGGCAAAAGGCCTCATCCTGACAGTGAAGTCGATCCTGAGGAGGAGCCTCTCATTAGAAGGACCCGGGTCTCCGGGCCGGGTGCTCTCTTGCACCGAGCGATCAGAGCTCCTGCTCCCTCTGGGCCTGCTGCAGCTGGTGGCTCTGCTTCTGCTTCAGGCCCCCCTTCTATCCCCACCTTACCGCCATGGGCCCCTCGGTACACCCGAACGGATGGGACGTTCGTGAAACCGAACGAGACCATGCTGAAGGATGGCCAGACCGCTATGGCCTACTACAGGAGCATGTGGACTCCGAAGGACCTTGAGGCGGCAAAGGGCCTTTCCCAGAAGGATGTGTTCAGCCGCTTTCCCCAATCTGCTATGGAGGTGACTTTTATTTTCTAACTCATGAATTCTCTCATATTATTTGGTCTTGCCTTCCCCCGACCTGACTATTGGCTTAACCGTTTTTAATGTGCACCTATGCAGACATTGTTCAAGATGATGGCCATGCAGAAGCAGGTGGAGATGGGGAACGCCAGGGCCCGTAAGTTTTCTGACAGCCTGGAGGTGGCTAATAAAGAAAACGACCTCCTCGCCATGAAGAATACCGAGGTGCTGGCTCGGCTTGACAAAACCGAGCAAGAGAGAGATGTCCTGAAGAAGGAGAATGATTCCCTTCAGGATGAGAAGGACGCCCTCCAGCTTGAGAAGAGCGTCTGGCAGACTGAGCGGGAATCAATTAGAGAAGAAAAGGCAGAACTCCAGCGCTTTCTAGCTGATGAACAGTCTGCTCGGATGGCTTTTGAAAAAAGAGCTCTGGACGAGCGTACCGCTCTGATCGACGCGATCAGCAGAGTGGGTGGTGGGATGCTGGCCCTTCACGCTCGGTTCTCAAGGGTCGGTGCTCTTAGGTATGCTCAAGGATTCCGGGAAGGTTTCGCCGACCGGGTTCCGGATGAGGGACAGACCAGCTCCACTCCGGATGAGGTAGACAAGGATCTGGGGATCGAACCTCTGGGGGTCTATGTCGACCCAGAACCCACCGAAGCGGAGCGCATATTCGATGAGTGCCAGGACATTACTTCCTCAAGGATCATCACAGCTCCTCCTACCGCTCTGCCACTGACCGCTCCTCAATCGTCAACCGTGGTTCCTTCCATAGCCACCGCTGACGCTGAACCCCAGCCGAACGATTCAGTCATTCACCTTGATTCCCCACCTCATGAAGGTGAGACGGCTGATGGGGCCGAGGAGGCGAGTCGGCACGACCAGGATGCTGTTGGTACTGAGGCGTCTAGCTAGGGCTCCTTTGAATTCTTCCATTCCATATCTTTTTGTAATGATGGACATCTCTCTTTTGTAAACTCAATGCTCAATATTAATGAAACGACAGAACTCTTTTTCCCTATGTGTTGTGCTCTATTCAACTTATCTTCAATACATACATATCTTTTCTCTCTTTTTCTTTTATACTAGCTTTGCCGTGTGTTTGTTTATGGCAAGTGCCTGGCGCTCGGCTAGAATGCCACTTGCCACTTGGCTTTAAATTTTTAGCAAGTGTCTGGCGTTCGGCTCATGGTGCTAGCTGCCACTTATCTTGCTTAAGTGCCTGGCGCTCGGCTAGAATGCCACTTGCCACTTGGCTTTAAGTTTTTAGCAAGTGTCTGGCGTTCGGCTTATAGTGCCAGCTGCCACTTATCTTGCTTAAGTGCCTGGCGCTCGGCTAGAATGCCACTTGCCACTTGGCTTTAAATTTTTAGCAAGTGTCTGGCGTTCGGCTTATAGTGCCAGCTGCCACTTATCTTGCTTAAGTGCCTGGCGCTCGGCTAGAATGCCACTTGCCACTTGGCTTTAAATTTTTAGCAAGTGTCTGGCGTTCGGCTTATAGTGCCAGCTGCCACTTATCTTGCTTAAGTGCCTGGCGCTCGGCTAGAATGCCACTTGCCACTTGGCTTTAAATTTTAATAGTAGACCGTTGGAAAAGAAAGTTCTTTTTTGTAAATCTCAGTAACTTGCTCATTCATACGTATTTGATTGACAACAAACAACATCCAATTAAAGCCGGAACTTAGCTTTTATTGGTAGTACCTCTTCAGAGACGTGGCGTTCCAGGGCTTGCTGACCAACCTTCCCGCCATGGTTTCCAACGTATATGCCCCCTTGCCAATGACTTCTGCAATTCTGTATGGGCCTTCCCAGGGTGGCATCATTTTTTTGACCATCCCCACCTTTCTTTTCAGAACCAGATCGCCAGGGGCAAAATCCCTGTGTTTTACTCTCTTGTTGTGACTATTCGCCAGCACTTGCTGATACGATGCTAGCCTTATAGCCGTTGCGTCCCTCCTTTCGTCTATCATATCGAGGTTCAATCTTAGCATCTTGTCGTTCTGATCTCGACTCCATGCTAAGCTTCTGATAGTGGGGACTAAATGCTCAACCGGTATAACTGCCTCGGTACCATACGCCATTGCGAACGTGCTCTCCCCAGTCGGCCGCCTTGGGGTGGTTCTGTAAGCCCATAGAACGTTCGGGAGTTCATCCAACCACTTCCCCTTATGATCTTCCAGCTTCTTCTTAATGCAGGCGAAAATGGTTCTGTTTGTGATTTCTGCTTGTCCGTTGGCCTGAGGATGACTTACTGCAGCCAACTTCTGGTTGATTCCATACTCCTCCAGCAGCTTTCTTACTTGCCTGCTGTCGAGGTTTGTGCCATTGTCCATGACTATTGATCTGGGAACACCGAAACGGCAGATAATATTGTTCCAAATAAATCGTCTCACATGAGTCTGAGTCACGCTAGGATATGGTTCTACTTCCACCCATTTAGTGAAGTAATCCGT